ACGCCACGCTCAGTACGTCATACTCGTTGACAGACTGAGCGTGGCCCAGTGCAATAATTTAATTTCATATACTATATTTTTCTTTTGCAAGTTCTGAATGTGAAGTGTGTATGACTGATGACGCAGCGCGCATCGACCGCCACCAGGACAACCACCACCATTAACAACATATAAATAAACGCTTGCAAGCGCTTTACAATTTCTGACAATTATTGTCGGAGAACTTTGCCGCGTCGTGCACTTAGCCTTCTTGCTTGGCTTCTAGATCGCCAGTCAAACAACTATGTTTAAAAACATGTTGATAAATGATAGATAAATCGGTAAAAACTAGCAATAAAAAGTGATTGTAATCGCTTATAACTTATAACCGCTTTTCAAATCCTTAGGGGCAGCATTAAAAAAGCGCTTATAAGCCCATGGGTGATAGGAAAAGCGGTAGATAAGCGATCATAAGCGCCTATAAGCGCTTTTAAATCCTGACTCTGCCGGTGCACCCCAGTTTGCTCAGAAAAGCACATACGAGTGGGCACTCTCCAGTTCCGACCAGGTTGAAGGGAATTGAGAAATCGCTTATAACTATAAGCGCTTTTAAATTCCGGGCACTCCCCCGTTCCGACCAGGTTAGGGGCAGCATTGAAAAAGTGCTTATAAGCGCCTTTTAATTCCGGGCACTCCCCCGTTGCGACCAGGTTAGTGGCAGCATTGAAAAAGCGCTTATAAGCGCTTTCTAATTCCTGCCAACCAGGCCATGGGCGATAGGAAAAGCGGTAGAAAAGCGATCATAAGCGCCTATAAGCGCTTTTAAATCCTGACTCTGCCGGTGCACCCCAGGTTGCACAGAAAAGAACTTATAAGCGGGCACTCTGATTTCCAGTTCCGACCAGGTTAAGGAGAATTCAGAAATCGCTTATAAGCGCATATTAATTCCAGGCACTCCCCCGTTCCGACCAGGTTAGGGGTAGCATTGAAAAAGCGCTTAAAATTCTTGCCAACCAGGCCATGGGTAATGGGAAAAGCGGTAGAAAAGCGATCATAAGCGCCTATAAGCGCTTTTAAATCCTGACTCTGCCGGTGCACCCCAGGTTGCACAGAAAAGCACTTATAAGCGGGCACTCTGATTTCTAGTTCCGACCAGGTTAAGGGGAATTGAGAAATCGCCTATAAGCGCTTATTAATTCCAGGCACTCCCCCGTTCCGACAGGGTTAGGGGCAGCATTGAAAAAACGCTTATAAGCGCTTTACAATTCTTGCCAACCAGGCCATGGGTGATGGGAAAAGCGGTAGAAAAGCAATCATAAGCGCCTATAAGCGCTTTTAAATCCTGACTCTGCCGGTGCACCCCAGGTTGCTCAGAAAAGCACATGCAAGTGGGCACTCTGATCTCCAGTTCCGACCAGGTTGAAGAGAATTGAGAAATCGTTTATAAGCGCTTTTTAATTCCGGGCACACCCCCGTTCCGAACAGGTTAGGGGCAGCATTGAAAAAACGCTTATAAGCGCTATATAAATATAATTCTTGCCAACCAGGCCATGGGTGATAGGAAAAGCGGTAGAAAAGCGATCATAAGCGCTTTTTAATCCTGACTCTGCCGGTGCACCCCAGGTTGCTCAGAAAAGCATTTATAAGCGGGCACTCTGATTTCCAGTTCCGACCAGGTTAGGGGCAGCATTTAAAAAGCGCTTATGAGCGCTTTTTTATTCCGGGCACTCCCCCGTTCCGACCAGGTAAGGGGCAGCATTGAAAAACGCTTATAAGCGATTTATAATTCTTGCCAACCCATGCCATGGGTGATAAGAAAAGTGGTAGAAAAGCGATCATAAGCGCCTATAAGCGCTTTTAAATCCTGACTCTGCCGGTGCACCCCAGGTTGCTCAGAAAGGCACATGAAAGTTCCAACCAGGTTAAGGGGAATTGAGAAATCGCTTATAAGCGCTTTTAAATTCCGGGCACTACCCTGTTCCGACCAGGCTAGGGGGCAGCATCGAAAAAGCGCTTATAAGCGCTTTTTAATTCCTGCTCACCTGGCCATGGATGATAGGAAAAGCGGTAAAAGCGGTGAAATAGCGATGAATTAGCCGTAATAAGCGATTTCTAAAAAAACGCTTATAATCGATTATAAGCGGTTATAAGATGTAATATAGCGTTTTCCTGACTCAATTTTAAAAGCGCTTATAAGCGCTTTATTTGCGCTTTACAAACAGCTAAATTGCACCCCAATTATAAGCGCTTATAATCGCTTATAAATGGTTCAAAAAAGCGCCCACGAATCGCTTATCCGGCCAACCGCTTATCCACCCGTTTTTGGCGCCAATCCTACTGGAAAACCGCTTTCAAATCGCTCAGCGACGCTAGTAAGCGCTTAAAAGCGCTTATAAGCGCTTTTAAATTCAAAAAAGCGCTTTTTTGAATTATGACACCAATTATAGTCGATTATAAGCGATTTTTTTTGAACCGTTTATAATCGTTAAAAAAGCGATTGTAAACGGTTTTTTTTAAAAAAAGCGCCGAAAAAGCGCTCAATAAGCGATTATCGTCGCCGATCATAAAATATCGTTTATGGAAACTTGCCTAATAATGTGTAGTTTAACACTACAGAGTGATAAAATTTACATTATAAAGCAATCTTTTCATATTATGTGCTTTTCGTATAATATATATAATGTTGCAGTAGAATATTGAGTAACAATTTCTCTGGCAGATATAAGTCATAATTCATATTGATACAGTCACAATCCTTTTGCAATGGTAATTACAAAGCATAATACGGGTTACAAAGCATAATTATACCTCCTAAAACTATCTGATAAGTCCAATTACTGTACTACCTTGGCTCATTGTATTAGAGTAGATTAATATTGTAGAATAGCGTCTAACTACCCTTCTACGATTAGAATATATTAGAATATATTAGGTATTTTGCTATCATTATCTCCGCTGTCATTGTGACGTGGTAATTACTGTTCCAGTTTAATGAACTCTTAATTAAGTGATGAGTCTTCCAATTAATATCTTACTGGGACCACCGTAGCTTTCAGATTTGGTTATATGTTATCTACGAAATCAATTATATAATGTTATTTATTAAATTGATTAAGTTTTTAATGTTTCAGGTTAACACCTCTAGATTCCTAGAAACATTCCTAGAAACAATTATAAAAGGAGGCCTCGTTATCATGATCGAATAATATTAATAATACTCTCAACGATACTTAACAGACAGTATTTATTATATTCTAATAAAAGTTAAGATTTACGCGGTACTCAGTACCATTCATCTTACACCTCATTAAAGTGCATCACTATTCAATGGACCTTACAATACTAGCTAACTCAGTTATTATATTATATTATTCTGTAATCAGGTTAATAATATGTGGTAAGTTTGAAGATGTGGTAAGATTCCTTATATATTTACCGCTCTCCGTACTCCCTAAACAATGAATAAGTATCATTTTCATTAAGTTTACCTATAGTAGTTATAGGATTAAGGTCTGGCTCCTCTGTATGATTAACTTTAAGTGCAACGCAGTAAAGAGGTTTTATTTGGAACTTGGAAAAAATATTCCTATGGGAACTCTTAAAAAGCTTATTCGCACTTGAATAATATCACATTAGATTTACTTCACCACTTACTACAGACCAATAAGAAAGCAGGAAAGTAACTGAGCACAGTCAATAAATATCAATATATTAATCTGGTGACTTTAGCCTGAAGTTGTAGCTGCTGCTTCAACACCTTGCTCAGTAACCAAACTCAGTGATAGAACAAGTAGCACGCACTGACAGGCTGCAACGTTTCAAGTAAATGTGACCTCATGTTCACTCTCCTGATATTCAGTTAAGAACCGCTTATAAACAGTTTATAAACAGTTTATTATAAACATTCAGAACAAAACGTGCTAAGCACTGTAAATCAGCTATCTCTTATCATGAAGTATATAAAGTTTAAAGGTCTAGATCTGATAATTATTCACAGTGCAGAAAAGAAAGGACTGTCTACCACCGTCTACCAACGTCTTTTATAATCATACACTTTTATCCGGTTTATAACGTCTTAAACGATTTTAAGACGTTGGTGGTAGATTGTTTTATAGCCCGTACTACTCAGCTATTCTTCTTGTGACCATGTAGCTAATCCTCCAATCTATCCAGTGCTAGCTAACATGTTTGTGTGTTTAACCGTCCTGTGAGTGTTTGCCTATGTAGACATGAGAAACCTCTAGATCATGGTCCCTTGTTACATTTCTTAGAAAATATATTACATGGTTTTAAGTTATTAAGCAGGTATTTATGATAGTCAATGTATTTTCGGTATAATTAATAGAGGTTGGGCAAAATTAGTGTAATCTCAGCAGTACTCTACAGTACTGGTCGTGTAACAATTTTAGCCCATCCTGATAATTATAAAATATGTAATGTTCAATACAATATCTATATAAACGAGTCGTGTTTAGAATAGTGACTGAAACCCTGGCTTTTCCTTTCTGAACCAACTATTCTAGAAGTTTAAGAAGTAAGGCCTGTCCTCATGCAATGTAACGTACTATCTTCTCTTTCTTAACAACAGCCTTAAAAAGGAAAAACATGCTTTTTGAAGGAAGACTGTTTTATTTTCTTCAGAAAAAGGTGCACTATTATTGAGGAACAACCGTCTTTGAGAGAAATGCCTTCCACCAAACATAACTACTTGCAAAGCACGATGAAGTGGGAGCACTAACATTTTGTAACTTCTCTCTCTGAGCACACACTGCGCACAGCGCGGCGTGCGGGTCTCACTCCGGACACGCACACTGCGCACAGAGTGCAGGTCTCACTCCGGACACGCACACTGCGCACAGCGCGGCATGCAGGTCTCACTCCGGACATGCACACTGCGCACAGCGACAACCTACGCTGGTCTCAGTTTGAGAGCTGTCTCCTCTACTGCTAGCTTAACTCTCCAGCCTGCTTGCCCGACTGCTGCTTGATCCGTCCCACGTCCTTCATATACCCCCTCATAGGCAGTTACCGATGGAATTGCAGTATTCGAGCATGGAGAAGTCACAAAGTCCGTCTATATTCCGATTGAGGACGACCCTAGTTTCGAGGACAACGAGACGTTTGAAGTGGCCATTGTGGAAGCTACCGATGGAGCTTCCATCGGCAAACACCGGCGCACAATAGTCACTATTCTAAACGACGACGGTATGTAACGCACGCGCACGGGGCTCTGATACATTCAGCGCCCCGTTACGTGTGCTGTGTGATAATCTTGTTGTAATTTAAATTCTAGGCCAGGGATGAAGAGGTGGTGTTTTCGCACGGAGAGGTCACAAAGACCATCATAATCCCTCTTAACGATGACGATGTGTTTAACGAGGATAAGATATTCGAAGTGATGCTGTCAGAACCCACTGCGGGATCCTCCCTTGGAAAATCGAAGTGCACTATTGTCACTATTCTCAACGACGACGGTAAGATTACCCTGGCCATTGCCCCAAATTCAAAATATTCATCCCGCCTTTTTTCGTCAATTTTGAATCTAAGCTTAACATAGTTGATAACGTAAGGTTCATCGTAACCTCCTCCACACTTCCATGTTCGCATATCATCAACTTTTACACGTGGTAGCCCCCCGAACCAGCCATTGGCCGGTAAAATATTCGGAGTTTATCCGGCTAATGAGGAGAGAAATTCTCTACCTCACCAACACCAACCTCTTTTCTGGAATATTCATTAGCTTTACTGCCCACATAATTGTTCTGAAATTTGGCACATGCTTAGATTTCAACAAGGTGACTGGTTCAGATGAGTGCCGCATGTGCCCACAAGCTCTACGTTTAAGCAGCACCTACACACACACTGCTTTCAAAGGAGCAGCTTGTGTGTACGTTTAAAGAGGCAAAGTGTGTGTAAACTTTGTGTAGACTGCTAATATACCACGTCTACCAAGGTACAAGTCCATGCTTAACCTCCCCTTAAAACCAATGCCGGAATATTGCAATGAATTCTAACTTTCAACTATTTGGGCAACCTCTTAAACTCCATGAGATAACTTACAGGGCAGCCTTGAGCCTTCTATAGTAAAATATGTAAAATCAGTATGATTATAAATATCTCGCAAAATAGTCATCAGCGTTCCTGGCTCAAACGGATTCAGAAATTTCAAACTATGTATGAGCCCGATGTGTGACATATCTAAACTATAGACCTCGTACGCTGCTTGAGAAAATCAAACTGTGATGAGGCATAAAACTGAAATCTTATTCGGCTACATCTTAACATATCCAATTTTTGTCGATTAACAAAATTGAAACCTGTAATCAGTGCAGATCAGTAGTGGAAGCTTAAAAGTAATGATGACAGTGCATGATGCATTAGAATGCTTTAGTCTTGCCTACATAATATAAAACAGTTAAGAAGCAGACTAACACAAAGTCATTTCCAATATGTTTCCATTTTGAAGTTTTGAGGAATCATCTTTTGAGCAGATACCGAGAGAACAAGTGAGCGCGCGCGAGCGCCAAATCATTTCTTTACGTACAAAGTGGATTGAGTTGTACTTACGAAGACGGAATTGAAATTATATTAATTGAATTGATATATTTTGAATATAATCTTAAATCTACTTATTATTGTATCGACTGTTGGCAATCGATTTTTATTTCATTGAGTTTTAATAAGACCATGAGATATTTGTAGAAATCAAATCAGCGTTTCTTATTCAAGGTATACAGTATAATTGTTTTCAACCTTGATGGTCGCGACCCACAATAACTTAAAATATCAAAAATGGATCGTTGCTCGACTTTGGCACTTAATTAATAACTGATGAAACAGTTAGAAACAGCAATTAACATTCATCTTACTCAATGATCTGTCTCACTATTCACTAATCACTCTGTTTATTTCAGATTACCAGACCCTGATCACTCGAGTAGCTAACCTGACTAGTGTCAACCTGGATAAACTGGTCATCGGTAAGGAATCCTGGGCACAGCAGTTCCAGGAGGCTCTCAGTGTAAACGGTGGAAATGTTGATGACGCTGAACCTCTTGACTTTATACTCCATTTCCTCACTTTCGGATGGAAGGTTCGTTTACTTTTAAAATTAGCTTGATTCTTTTTTTTACAAGAAAATTGTCCATATTCAACATAACATTTTACATATCTTGATAATAAACAAAAATCAAAGTTCGTTTAAAAATTTGGGAGATTTTTCAAGTTTGAACTCAACAAAAGCCGAATCCTTGTTTCTAGACAAAGTCTTCGGGCCCTCAGGACCACTTTGGACCGGAATAATCCTGAAGTAAGGTTCAATAAATATCAGCTCCTCACCAACCCTGATATTAAAGAATTGTTGGTCCTTAATAAGTGGCTCAAACTCACAACCCTTCACCATGATCTTCTCTTCCTTCTCGTCCTTGATAATGAAAACACAGTAAAACTTGTCTGTGAAGATAGCTACACTGTTGATAACGTATTGAGGAAGATCCTGGTTGATATCAGGTGGTCTGATGTTCAGATCAAACTCCAGCTCCTTCTCTTTCTCGTCTCCTGATAAAGTGGTATCACTCCCGCTCACATCCTTGCTTTTAAAAGCTATGTTTCTCTTTTCACTGGAACTAACTACCGTGCCCACTTTATATTTGGGACAGTTAGGACTCCTAGCAAGCCGGACACTCGTGCCCTCGAATTGTAACCCGCTGACAATAACCAGAACTTTGAGATTGTTAGATAGATGAGAGTGGATGTGTCTGCCGTACACTACACATTCTGTCTGCAGACTCGGTACAAATACTCTGTATTTCTCCCCGGGAAGTACAGGGACTCCGAACGCGGTTATGAGTCCTTGCAGTGGGTAGCTCTCACCTGAGTCACTGGGCGAGTCCTCAGTGTCAGTTTGTTTAACACTGCTCCCCTCCTCCCAGACTCCCTCCATCTCTACCAGTATAGTGTCCTTATTGTCTGGGTTCACTGCTAGACGGTTCCCCTGAACTTCAACTGTCCTATCTAAGATCGGAACATGCACTTGATAAACCTGGTCAGGATGTATAGGTACCCCGAATGCAACAAGTTTGTATCGGCTCTCCTTATCTGGAGTAGAAGGGCTCTCTACCTCGTCATCCTCGGTCTTCAGAACCGGAGCAATCACATCCTTGTCTCCCGGGTTGAAATTGTTGGCGATAAAAGCAGGTCTGATCTCCGTGCCCACTAGCTCTGTACCCTCCACTGTTATCTTGACTGTGTTGTTGTCGTTTTGTGAGATGTGCTCCCCGAATATTATGTACTCTTGTCTCATGTCCGGGACATGTACGTAGTAGGTTTCTTTTGGTTGAACTGGGATTCCAAACGCTATCAACTGTTGCTGAGGCTGAGATTCAGGGACTGTGTCTTTGTTGTCTGATCCGGTGGTCACGGTTTTCTCTAAGTCTTGAGGTTGTGTCACTGCGGACACGGTTTCTGTCAGTTCGTTATGTGTTGAAGTATTTTCAGTTGCACCACCAACAAGAACAGCCTCTTCGACAGATTGCTCCCTCGCCAATCCTTCCTCTGGTTGTTCTCCAGTCATTACAAGTTTATCGTGTTGTTTGTTAGCCGTATCTTCTCCCTCATTCAGTCTCTTATGAAAGACGAGCTCAGGAAATACAGGTCGTAGTGAAGTGGCGTGGTATCTACGTCTGTGAATTGTAACCAACAAGCCCGTCTTATCATCAGGGTTAGGGGACAAGTCTAACCCGGGGACTGTATACTCATTCTTAAACTCAGGAATGTAAACATAGTAACTCTGGGACTTGAAAACTGGAACCCCGAATATGGAGAAGGTCTCATGAGTCCCAGGTTGGAAGTCAACATATCTAACGGAGGAGCCGGTCTGCTGATGCTTCTTTATCACCAGCTCCTGCTGCTCCTTTAGTTTCTCCTTGTGTTGCTCCTGATTGTAGTTCCTCTCAGGGGCTACTCTTAACCGTGTGGCGATATAAGAGACCCCGGAAATGCAAGCTAGGAATGTTTTGGGGTAGCGAGGGTTAGGTTCATTGGGATTGAGAGACAAAGCTGATCCGGGAACACTCCGCTCACAACCCAGAGCTGGAATGTAAACTATGTAGTGTGAGGAGGCGTCCACTGCTACTCCAAATATGTGGAGCGAGTTAGCCAACCAGGGTGCTTGGTGTTTCCGGAACATGAAGTAACCTGACTGAAAGAGATGGTTGTAGCGGGGGTTGAGTGTTCCGTCTTGAAGGAAGATGTGTGTAGCGGGAAGGTAACTGTACTCGTCTTCTATCCTGGATCTCTCTCTTATCACTTGGTGCTGAGTTCCTGTTGGTAAAGGTTGAGAATAAGCATGGTGGGCGGGGACCTGATTTACGTTGTAAGGGACCTGATTTTCGTAACTTTGGACATGGTTATTGTGAAAATGTTGATTTTGCACAAAGGCAGGGTTAACACCGTGTACATGGTTGACATTTTGATGGACATGGGCTTCCTGTATTTGAACTTGATTATGCTGAACCTGAATATTGTTGGCAAGGACATGATGATGGTTTGTAAGACGTCCAGAATTGAGGTTGGAGTCGGTGAATGGTACTCCTTCATTAGTGACATCTAAATGAGCGTCATCTTCGATATTGGGAGTAAGAAGGACAGGAACTACAGCAGGGGACACATTAGCACTATCAGTAGCAGGAATAGAGAATGTGATCACATGATTACTCCCACCGTTCTGCTGTTCATTGGTTGTGTCTGTTTTTCCCTCTTCTGTGCTATTTTCTCCTTCTGGTACGTCTTCAGAGATAGTTATATCCTCACTGCAACTGATGGAGTCCTCAGCCGAATTTTCTGTCTCGGAATCGTCCTTTCTCAATTCTCCGGGCATCGTGACCACGTTATCACAGATTATCTTATCATCTGCGGCTTCTGTCATCATCGATAATAGCCGGTAAACTCGTACAGTCCTCTGCATAGAACATTTAATTGATAGCAATTAGGACTACAAACTATAATCGAATAGACAAAACACAGACAACATAATTTAGTGTGGTGTCGTCAGGTATTGAGCGCCAGTTAATACTTCAGTACTGGATCATGTGACATATCATGTGACCTTTCAAAGTCTCCAGGAAACGATATGTTTGGCTGGCCATAGACGATTGGAGTAATAGACAACTAGTATGTGCATCATTCGATAGTTAATTGTGACAGGCGGCTTAAATTAATGCCACAAAATGATGAAAAAACTTTAAAAGTAATCCTAGCTATTTATATTCTAACTTATTTTAATCTCAGGTATTGTTCGCCTGCGTGCCCCCAGCTCATATTGCTGGAGGATGGTTGTGTTTCTGTGTATCTCTTGGAGCCATTGCTGGAGTAACCGCTATTATTGGTGATATGGCCAGTATCCTCGGACAACTGTTGGGAATCAAGGATTCTGTCACCGCTATCACTTTAGGTATATTTAATTAATCCCTCTTACATTCTTCCGGTATTCCTTGCTCGTTTTCTAACGATTGCCTTTGTAACCCCTTGATAACATTGGTAACCCCTCGTTCTTCTTTTTCAGTTGCCCTGGGAACCTCCTTGCCGGACACGTTTGCCAGTAAAGTAGCCGCAATCAACGAAGACTCAGCTGACGCAGCTATCGGTAACATCACCGGTTCAAACTCTGTCAACGTCTTCCTCGGTCTGGGCATCCCATGGATCATCGCCACTCTCTATAAATACTTCACATATGCTGCAACCGTAAGCTTCTTTTTATTGATACAGCTAATAGATAATATGTCACATACCTTAATTCCCAAAAATTTGGGCGACAAAAAATTTGAGCGGGCCTCTCGCCCAAATTTTTTGCAGACCAAATTAATTGCATAAATCTTTTCCGTCCGCTAAATTTTTTGCTAACCAAACTTTTGGCATTTGGCCTGTGGCCCTGAAATCTATAGAAAGATGGCTTTTTCTTCATATCCCAGTGAAATAATATTTGAAATTTTAGTTTTCTAATTCTGCTTAAAATTGAAAGCAAAATGACTGGAACAATAAGGAATAATAATGAACTAAGGCAAATATCTAACTGAAATTTTAGTGGAAAATCGTTAATTTTTCGAAGAATTTGTGCCCAAATTTTCGGTCGCCCAAATGAGTTCAAATTTTCTGCCCAAATTTTTCGGGCTCAAATAAATTGTGCTCAATATAATGGCACACAAATTTTTGGGAATTAAGGTATGTATAATTAGTATATTGTATAACATTGGTCCTAAATTGTCTTTGAAACATTCCCTCAGAAGCTGGGAAGCAGATATTTGCAGGTAGCAAAACTTACAGCTTCAATTTTTCAGGATCGAAGAAGCAAATTTATCGTAACGGACAAATCACTGCCGTTCACGATAGCCCTTTATTCAATAGCAGCCATTGCTACTCTATTATTATTAACTTGGAGGAGATACAGCATTGCTGCTGGAAAGGTATGTAGTGTGTTAGTCAGTTCAATTACTATAATATTGTTGTGACATTTTCATCGTGTAATGTGGAGAAAGCTATTTAGATTGGTTTTCTGTTTAGATGTTTCATATTTGATGTTATATCGAATTTTTGGTATGATATCATGGATTTTGATGTTTTTTAAAATTTTTAAAATACTTCTGACGTCCTCTCCTTGCAGGCCGAATTGGGAGGTGATCCTAAGGTAAAGAAAATATGCGCTGCAATATGTATAACCCTCTGGTCGATATACATCATCTGCGCTTCCCTATATGCCTACGATGTAATCAAGTTTTAGGACATAAGCTCCCACTGCACCAAACGCAATTCAACCGACGTCCACACTACAGCCATGATTTTTATCCATAGTTTTGTACCGCGTAGCAGGTCAGATCACCAGACCAGATGTCCGGACATATAACAAGCAGTGTGACACAAACAGTGTGACACTGTACAAACAGTGTGACAGCAGTGTGACAGCAGTGTGACACTGTGTACAGCTCTGTTACCGGGGATCATCATGATATTATAGCCTGGCACATGGCCCAGACATTTGTAGAAAGTATAACAGATAAGAGGCTCACCACTCTTGGAATATGCCATGTTCTTTTTCTAGATCTCCTTCTTTTCTTTAGCACTGCATGTCAATACAAATGGGAAATGCTACTTATGGTCTGAAAAAAAGAATTGGGTTGCTCTTCTGTTCAATAATTTGTATCTTGGGGACTGTTCAGAAACCTAGCAACCACTCCTAAAAACAATACTTGTAACCTAGTAACTCTTCTAGTAACTTGGTTACTAAACTAGTAACCTGGTTACCAGCGCAATTCAGTCTCCGGATGTCAGGTTATTGAGGTACTGATATCTCGAATAAGTGAGGGGTTGTCAAATAATGGTCACACAAGAATATTGGACAGCAGGTAGCCGAGAGAGATTTATCATTATTTTTATCTCCCGACAGGTTTTTATTTAAAGTGATCTCTTGACTCCTTGATTGATAAGCCGATTTACCTTGAAGCCATGCCTCAATCCTGCGAATTTTGCTTAGCCAAAAAATTGCGCATTTCCAGGTTAAATGTTCTTTGAGATTTTTAGCTGTACAGTATTACACGATTTATTTACCACAACAAACGTACGACTGTAGACTGAACCGGCTTATTGTTGTTCGTGTTTAGCACGTGGAGCAATAGATTGGTTGTTTTTTGGTCCAAAGTTTGTCACAGTTAGGGATGGCATTTCAAAATTATGCCTTTAAAATATGCACAAATGTTAGAGTTAAAAGACGATGTTTTCGTTGCTGTAATGAAATCAAACATGTTATAATTGATGCGTCATGATCTATTTCTGTCTTGTCGAGTGAACAAATGTTAGATATCTAGTAAACTTATACGAGATCATTGTAGGAAGTTTTATTGTTTCGCAAAGAAATGAAGCTTCATCGTCATGTATCAAAAATAATGGTTTCTGATACAGGACCTTGAAGTTTCTAGCTTGCGGATCGGAGCAGTATTACTTCCCGGAATGACTTAAATATTATGATGGGTTTAATAATATCAGCTGGTAAGATGCAACGAATTCCTGCTGGAAAGCAGCATAAGCAGTTTCTATAGATCAGTTGCCATGGTCTATATGATCATGAGTTGCGAACTCTGTGGTGACAGCGTGTTGCCATGGTAACGACTTGTTGTTATAACTGTTATTACCAATTGTCTTCTTAGAGGTAACTGGTTTGAAAGAGGTTGAAGAAAAGTTTAGGATTATTTAAGGGCTTCTTTAACAATTTCAGCTAAACTTTTATTAAAGCCGGGGTGATATTTTATTTTGGTTTTGTCATCTCATCTACCTTTTGTTAACCGTGCTTCATCTTGAATTTTTAGATCCTCTCGGATTTTCCGGTCTTTGACTTTATTAGGCTATAAAACATGATAATTTGTCTTGTCATTTTTGAAAGTTTTCTGAGAAAGAATTAGAGGTCAACGAATAAACGCTTTTTTCCTGTCAGTTTCACGTCTACTTTATAATTAGAGTCTAGTTGTGCCTGGCCGGTTGGATGTTGTATATTAATTACATGTCCCTCATAATTCACTCTTAGCCGTTATATTATAGTTACTATTTGAAGACAAGAGATGAAGATGTTTTTATTGTTCTCAAAACCTGCCATCATGATCAATGATTGATTGAAAATAACAAAACCATTGTGAACGACAATTGAATGTAGGTTTTTAAAATTGCTTCGGACTATAAATACTGAGTCCGGGATTTCAAATTGAAGAAATCCCAGAGAATATGTATGATATACGTGAGAGAGCCATATACAATCAACAATATACATTATACATAGACCAGCAAGCTGAGTAACAAATTTCATACAATAAATGTATATTGTATAATATGTGCTTGCACAATAATTGATAATGTTTGTACATCATATTATGTACAATCATAAACCAACAGTACCAAATAACAAATGTGGATTATACATTATGATTCACTAAACTCTATATGATTGTATTGTAGTTGTACACTTTACCCGTGAGCATCAAATGAACAAATCGACGTATGTTACTTTTACAGTAGAGAGACATTCAGGTGATTTGTTGATTGTCCTAATAACGGGTGATACTCGTAAAATATTTTGTATTTGTTCCAAGACCGTCGACGAGTCCAACTCGGCGCGCGTCTTGGTAGGTTATAAACCTACAAAATTGTCCGTGTAGTTGTTTTTATGGTCAAATTAAGTTAACAAACTTGATCTCGACGAAAGTGGAAAGAGAAGCTTAATAAATGTTGACACTAAATGTATGTAATGAAATACATTTTTACAAAAATCGCAGCCAATTTGATCGCTCCTACTAAATCGCTCGCCCAAATTTTAAGAAAATTCTTGTGAAAAGGCCCTTTAGGCATGAAAGTGCTATCTTGATCGGTGTATTTTTGGACGCTGATTCCGAATCACCGCCCATGACGTAGGGTTAAAATGCTTCCCTGGAGAGTTATGGGCAAAAAACCGTTTTGGTCACGTGACAGGCTAATAAATTGACCATTGTTAATGGTCTGGCCCGGCGCGCGCTACTTCGTAGCACTTGCCATCGGGCCATAACATTTCGAGAAGAAAGCGGCGCGCGCTACTTCGAAGAAATTTAGACGAGTAACATCCGTCAAGTGCGTGGAGGCGTGGAGCTTTTGCATTGTTGAGGTGCCTCATAGGGGTCGTACGTTGTATGACCCGCCGCGCACGAAGTGCGCGGCTCCCCCTGTATTGTCAGGACGATAAAGTAGTGAAACGACCGTGGGGGTCGCAACGTGATACACGATCGTACTCGTTCACATATTACGTAATCAGCTGAGGGGGGGCGGGGGTTCCGAATGATTACGCTAGTGTAATTTGGACACAATATAGCTATATGTGTAAAACTGATTACGGAGGCAGGAGGGGGGGGGGCGGGGTAAAAATGCTCCAAAAAATGATTACGTAATATGCGAACGACCCCATATCATGTTGCATGTGATTATGATATTCAATTTTATTGATTTAATAATGTGTACTGATTACGATTCCCCATTTACAATTAAATTTTGCTGGACTCGCGTCAAATTATTTTTAATGCAGAATCAAGTATTAGTCGAATAAATGTTGCATATGTATCAAATTGGGCTCTTACTAAATCGCTCGCCCAAAAATTTCACGTGACTTTGGTTTTTTGGTTTTGCAGCCGTGCAAAACGGTTTTACATAAACCCTAATCCTTGATTCACGATGTCAATCCTTCGCATCTCGCCGATCTGCATACGGCGAGAAGCATTATTGGATGCGCGCGACCCAGTAGTGCATCGCGCTACAACCCTAATCCCAACCCTAACCCTAACCATAACCCCGAAGCTATCCATAATCTTAACCACTATGCACTACCCTAACCCTAACCCGAGCCCTAAATAATCGAATTCACGTTTTATTAGCCTGTCACGTGACCAAAACGGTTTTTTGCCCATAACTCTCCAGGGAAGCATTTTAACCCTACGTCATGGCGGTGATTCGGAATCAGCGTCCAAAAATACACCGATCAAGATAGCACTTTTGTCATGGCACCCTACTTGGCCCGATGGCAAGTGCTACGAAGTAGCGCGCGCCGGGCCAGACCATTAGCAATGGTCAACCACGCACGCATTTCGCGGAGGAATAAGACATGACATGTTTTATATACTGGGCGGCGCTCAGCCTGCCATTCCGCCGAATCTTTATTCGGCGAAATATATTATATAGCCTGGGGTCCCCAGGTTGCAGGTAAGACACGACAGTTTCATTGATATGCAATTTTACTGGGCGGCGCGCTAGCTCAGCCTGTCATTCCGCCAAATCTATTGTCTATATTCGGATTATGAACATAAATATAATAAGCTGGGGTTCCCAGATAAACAAAGCTAAAGCAATGATCTTGTTTGCATTCTTACATCGATGCGAAAATGAAGTAAGAATGATTTGCTCTAACCTAGTAGTAGAGGCTCTTACGGGCTTTGTCTGCTAGATACACTAAAATCACCAGACCCATCTTAAAAGACGTATTTTTGACCGTAGAATCGATTAAAAGTGGTTAGAAGTGTTTAAAATGGGGGTTACCCGGTTTTATTTTGAAAAAACCGATATTTGGCCCCAAAAATGGCCATTTTTTGAGGTTTTTTAGAAATTTCGACAGGTTAATTCAATCGAAAAGCTTATATATTTTGGGTTCTTGTACATTTTTATTTGCCGCACTAGTTGATACCAATATAATAGGCATACACAAGAGTTTACCTGGTCAAAATTTTAAAAAACCTCCCAAAAAAAATATTTATTTGCGCGCTAAATTTTTTCGGCTCTTTACACACCCACGATGAAATATTTTTGCCCAAAAAGTGTTTTAATACTGTTTAATAATACTATTTGATAGTTTTTCAGCGTTAAAACAAGTTTTGAAAGCGGAAGAAAAAATTATATTTTTCGTGGTGCTAAGCACTTTGAAATTTTTTGAATAAAATCGAGCGCTACCGTAAAATTTTAGTAACCCTTCCCTGAAACTCATTTAAGTTTTTGTATCGGTAGTGTTTTGTCCTTTTCTGAAGTTCATGCCTTCTCTGGCTTAATTTCATATAATATTGTTTAAAACAGCACAGTAAAGTGTTTTATAATAGTAGAGTGCCATTTCTAATACTTCAATGTTATATTGTTGAGATACCTTTACTTGGCTGATTACCTTTTGTTAATACAATTTCACCAATTTAGTATTGCATTGCTTATATGAATATTTGGATTTATAATTTATCGATTGTGGGTATGAATTAACTTTTGGTTCACAATCAACAATAAAATGTCTACTGTATGGTACCCTTACAAGATTAATTATAGATCTTTTGACAGGAATGCCTGACTTAAACCCCCTCATCCATCACTCATTCCGTGTTACCTGTTGGATGTGGAGGAACCCTACCTCAAACTGAAATATTGTAAAGGTACCCTTCAGTACATAAATAGAGCACTGTAAATAATATAGATTAGTTACTGCTATCTTCTCAATGCAATTTTGAATACATGTCAGGAACACCTGGCTTAAACCCCCTCATCCATCACTCATTCAGTGTTGCCTGTTGGATATGGAGGAAATCTACACCACAAAGTGGAATATTGTAAAGGCACTCTTCAGTACACATAAAATAGAGCACTGTAAATAATATAGATTAGTTGCTGCTATCTTCTTAACATGATTTTGAATTTATAAATAGTAGTAGAGTAAATGTCAGGAATGCCTGACTTAAACCCCCTCATCCATCACTAATTTCGAATAAATGTATAGATGCTGCATTGAATTCATGAAGATATCATTCGTTTTGAGCAATCATTCCCTTAGCTCCCCCATTCTTTGATTGTTTCAAAGAAGTAGTCAAACTACAATATGTATTGTTTAGTTACATCTTTAGGTAGGGTGCCCCGCTAAAAGAACTGGATTCTTCCAGGAAGCATCCCGTGCACAGACCTTGGTCTACATATATATTAAATTATTAACCATTCATTCTGTATGTGCACGAAAATGTATTTCAATCAAAAACATCTATTGCTTGTTATTTAAGCCATTTCATCTCTAGTAGATTCAAATAATTTCTGCAATTCTGAATTATGTTGCTGAACAAACTTGACAATCATCATTAGAAAGAAGGTGACATGTTTATGGACCCAGAACTAGCTAAGACAGCTAAGACTCTGTGTACATGCGAATCACTTCAAGAATCTTCTTGATGAAAGAAGCTTGTGTGGTTTGTTAAAAGACTTCAATCCGCTCACAGCCATGCAGATTAAGACGAATTTAGATCGACATTATTTTGATAACAATGAAAACTCAAATGGTTTGATTTTTAGCTAAATTACCATAATTATTATAATTAATTAAATACAGGCTGACAATGTTTCATTTTACAAAATGTATCTGAATAATGTAATTTTAACTGAATCTTAAGCTGTTCAAAAAGCTTTGTTAGATGATGTTATCGATGCTGTATAAGTTGAAACCTTTTGATGATGAGAGGTACATGAACAAACCTACACTAAACAATACTACATTCCAGCTTGAAACGAAATGAGTGGAGTTGAACGACGCCTGTTTATCGAAACTACATCAATCAACTTTTCAACTATGCAGGTTATTAATGAAATGAAATGAAATACTACTACTTTGTCGGAACTAAGTCCGATCTACGCCAGATAACCCCCTCCATATATCCCTGTCCCGCATCAGAGTTCACAGTTCCTCTTTTGAGTTTGTCCCAATTTCCTTCAGTAACATAGACAAGTAGCTTTGTCTTGGTCGCCTTGCTGTGCTCTACAATGCATAGGTTTCCATAAGACTAAATCACTGGCAAGTAGCTCAGGATGTCTGATGCAGTGTCCTGCCATTTTTAGTCTCCTGCTTTGTAACTTGTTTGACAGCCTTGGTAGACTACCATACAAAGTTATATTGCTGACCTTGTCCTTCCATGAGATACCCAGCACCATACGTAGCATCTTTGTGTATGTCCCGTCCAATACAAATGAAATAAATTATTTTTATCACGCTTATATCAACAATCAAAATTAAAAACTTATGGACGTATATCACTCATTATTATGTATCACTCTCTAACATCTTGTCCTCACTAGAAATATTACCACTTCTGATATAATAATGTTTTTTGTGTCTTCTTTGGCTAAGGCATGGCTCCAGCTCAAAATCTTTGGGTGGGTGCAGCTTGGCGCATGGTGGGGGGGGGGGGGGAGGGGGGGGGGGGGTGAAGCCCCCTGGAAAATTTTGGAATTTTACTCTCGGACTAAACATATTTTAATATCTCCAAAACAGTCTCAATTGATTACAGAAGTCAATTGACCCTTAGTATATACAAAATTTGACAATTTTTGTGTGAACATTTTCAAATCGTTTGGGTGGGTGCAACACCCTTTGGGTGGGTGCAACACCCTTTGGGTGGGTGCGCACCCACCCGAACCTACACGGTGGATCCATGCCTGCTTTGGCTATCTGTTTCATTTCCAAGACCAACCGCTGATGGATAACTCGATCTTCAGGTCATCGATCTGGAGAGATGAAAACAGTCTTATGATCTTCACACAGTCTCAGCTTTTTGGCATTTACTAATATCTGATGAACGGTAAGTTAGAATTATGTAGCGAAACTTTGACTGGTCTAGTCTTGTTGGCTGATTTTCTCCCAACCCAGATAGCTTCAAAACGTGGTTTTTCTTCAATCTGCTGAAAAATCACGGTAACTTTATTGCACAGTTCCTCTTCATCAGTCTCCTTCAAACCAAAGATGAGCACATTCCTACTGCGATCCTCTTCCGATACACCATTCTGTACAACCTTTTTTAAATTCTCTTCTGCAAGCACAGGTGCATTTTTAGTCACAGCTTGACTGTATGACTTCATCTCAGCTTGGACAGTGTCTTGAACGGCGGTCTTGACGGTGGAGTGCATGGATTCCAACTGCTTCGATTTAGTTTCCAGAAGTTCAGCCTGCAGCTTGATAACAGTACTTTGCGATCGGATAAGATCGCTCATCAACTCCTCCATATCTTTCTTGTTATCCAGAAACGTACTTACATGATTATCGGTAGTCTGATACGCAGAATACAAATTATAAATGTTTTACTGAAACTGACTTCACTGGCTTTTTGAACGTTTCAACTGAAAACTCAGATTTATTGTCACAGTTCGTAGCTTCCGCGAGTTCAGTGATCCAACCGTTATAGACCTCATACTCTTCAGTAATGTAGCTAGGTAGAATAAACTGACAATCTTTGAAGAGTATCCATTTCCTCCATCGATTACTTGTACTTGTATAAAGTAAAAACACAGTACCAGCAAAATGGCAGTTGTAATGTAGCGATAAAATAGAGATATGAGCTAGATTATCAACACGTAAAAAAAACTGTAAAACTGTATCATAATATTATTATGCTTTTAACATCATCTGTTGTGATATACATGACAAAGGGTTGGAAATGTACAGTAACCTTACTATATTGCAATTACACAATATTATGTGAACGACCCCTAACCCCTTATCTAAGGCTCTATAAGTATTGAATAATGATAACTGCAGGATTTCAAAATGTACAAGGCATCATATCAAAGATTGCATATGCCCGAAAGAAGGACAAATCCAATTTGGCTCTCTGGATGTATGGAAAGCTCTCAACCTTCCAGAAAAGGACTGTTCAAAGGAACACTTAAATCCCTCCGACAGGTAATTATTATAAATAATAATTTAGTCTACACTTCATTATGTCAAATCACCTACCATAATGAAGAACTAAAATTGTTGTGTTACGTAACCAAGTTACGTAACCAAGTTACGTAACCAAGTTTAATGTGACTCAATTTTGGTGGAACTTTAGAATTTGGACGTTATATCTGTCATGTTCATCTTAAATCTCATATTATATACTCAATATTCAATTAAACAGACAAAGATAACCTCTCTGCTCTAGGCCCTCTGGTGGTGACGTATAAGTGCTTTCTCAGTACTTTCTCTCGCTTTTGGACAAATCCAGTGAGTTAACTTTTTATCAGTGGTCGACCGGGGGCAGGATTCTGACCGGGGCCGGGGAGCCCCAATATAGCCGGGGCCGGGGCTGACCACTGAGAATTGGCCGGGGCCAGGGTTTACCCCCGGAGAATTGCCAATCTTTGGCTGGGGGTTGTGATTTTGGCCAGGGGGCACCGGGCGACCACTGCTTTTTATGTCACGATTTTAAAACTTTATTCATAAGTTTATGAAACATCAAAACTCTGCATGCTCTGCATAATGTAAAGTCAGTCATGCACTAGAGCACAGTTCACATATAATAACTTAATCCAGCCTAGGGGAGGGGGTTTGAAATCGCTTGTGCTAGAGTGATTTATACTCAATAGCTATGTGAAAAGTGGCTCAAGGAGGAGAGACCGACGTAAACAATTTTGAATTGGTAGAAGTTAAGTTTAGGCTTTAATAAAAAACTTCACCGGACCGTTCCAAGCTGCCTACAAAGCTGGCAGGAGCTGTGCCGACCTAGTTTGGGCACATAGCATGCTCATATCTGTAGTAATGAAGAAGGAGTTTCAATGGAACAAAGTGAGTATTGACATGTCAGCTGCCTTCAATACCATCCGCAGAGGTACAACAATCAGACTACTAGAAGCTGCAGGATGCTCCAGAGACGACCTGAGGCTTGTACAATACCTCATGGCTAACACCACTCTAGTAGTCAGAGTGTGTTCTACTGACTCAGAGATGTTCTCTTTCAACATAGGAGCCTCCCAAGGAGACAGCGCAGCTGGTAAATTGTTTACCCTCAATCTGGCTGGAGCTGTAGTGCACATAAGAGCGGTCCTCCCCTCAACCCCCAACCCTCCGATAGCCGATAACCACATGCCTCTTGAGTCCGGCTATTCAGACGATGTAGAGGAGATTGGTGAAGATATGGAGGAGTTACAGGATATCTTTCAGATCTCCAAGAATATTCTCAGTGAATGGAGTCTCTTTGTCAATGACACAAAGACAAAGTTTACCAGAGTGTATTTAGAAGAAGTTGGTGCATGTGCCGAGTGGGATAATGAACTAAGAGGAAAAGAGGAGTGGAGAAACGAGACGCTTCTTGGTACTAAGCTTGGATCAGAGCAGGATGTTACTAATAGAATGAATAAAGCTAACACCGCCTTCTGGTCATTTGACAAGCTGTGGTGCCAGGGATCAGAGAGGAGTCAGATAACTGAGAAGAGAAAGATCAAATCTACGACTCACTAGTAGTATCAGTGCTCCTGTACAACTGCTGCTGCTGGGCCGTACCTCAGCATGTTCTAGAGTCTGTTGATGTTGTTCAGAGGAAGCACCTCAAGCGCATCCTACACATCTATTGGCCTAGCTCAATATCTAACAAGGCCCTCTACGCTCGTACCCAGACCAGGCCCCTTTCCGAGAGAGTGGAAAAGGCACGGTGGACAATGCTAGGTCATGTTCTACGCATTGATAACGACACGCCTGCCTACCAGTCTCTGTTATTTGCTTCACTAGGATGTCAAACACTAAAGGGACGAGTGGGTAGACACAGGACTAATTTGTATGATATTATTGTGAAAAAGGACCTATTTAAGAGACAAATTTATTTGAAAAATGAAGATGATTTTACCAACTTAGTGAACTTAGCAAGAGATAGAGTAGGATGGAGGAGTTTATTTACTTTGAGACATATTGAACGAATGAGTCTTCGTAAGCGTAAATAGGCCAGCACTTTGCTGAGCCTCTTTAGGTGCTCTTTTGTTTATAGATGTTATTATATTCATTCTTTTACCACATACATAAGACTTTGCCGTAGGGTATACAAAAAATGTGACCATTCATCAATTTTCAGAGTGCTGTATCTGTACCCGAATAGAAATAAAGGATTTTAATGACACAGTTTTCTTCCGCTCTGAAAGTGAACGAATTACAAAACAGTCTAGAGAATTCCTCGCCCTGCTGCAGAAGATCAATCCTGGGTTGTGCTCACCAAAGCAAACCTCTTTTTTTGTGTATTCAGTGTCTTAACTATGTAAAAGACAACTATAACAGGTTGAGTGGTTTCCTCCTGTTTTACTAACATTTAAAAACATCAGGAGGTGACCGGGATTCCCGGTACCGGGATTGGCAATTTTGAGCTATCCCGGTCCCGGTCCCGGTCAAATGCTGATTTATTTATTTATGATCCCGGTCCCAGTCCCGGTCCCGGTTAATTCGGGATTCTTGGTCCCGGTCCCGGTCCTGGTCCCGGTCAATCACTCAAATTTGCCGGGATTTTGACCGGGATCTTTTACATAATTTCATTCACTGTGATTTTAAGTTTTTCCTTTCATTCATTGTGAATTTCATCTTTAAATATCCTCTGAGCCAAATACAACAATGTTTAAAATTGCTTAACAAGTTTGAGTAATAAATTATAATCATGAATTAACCAGTAATCGACCGGAATTGACAATTTTGAGCTATCCCGGTCCCGGTCCTGGTAAATTGATAATCTCAATTTTGAGCTATCCCGGTCCCGGTCCCGGTCAAGTCACATTTTGTATCCCGGTCCCGGTCAGGCCTGAAATCATGTCCCGGTCACCTCCTGAAAAACATTATTATTCAAAGGTAAATAGACAGCGAGTAGTAATTTTTAATCCATTTCTATCGGATTTGCAAACTTTTAAAATGATATAACACTTGTACGATCTCAAACTTATGTGATATGATACTGTTGATATAAATGTGGGAAGTAATAAAGTATTTGCAGGTGTACAGTGCTGTTTCTGAAATTGACGAATCCCCTTGTGATGAAGATTGAAGAAGCTATTGCCATCCAAGTGGAAAAAGTCCCGCCTTTGTCACCCTCCTCGAATAGAACTAAGAAAATGTGGAGACTTTCTTCATTTAGTTCCAAATCAAGTGGACCAGATGTTGATTTGTTTGAAATGGACTGAGACTTGTGTTTCATATGCCAGGTTGAACAGGTTTGTGTGAAACTTTTGCTCGCAAATATAATTATTATACATATTATCTCGATTTAATTTTAAGAGTATGAGAGGTTATTCTTCTTTAACAATACGAATTTCCCTAGACGTTAGAAACGAAAAAGGATAGTCTGATTCAAGGAAAAGATAATAGTTTCTTCGTCGATTTCGCAACATAATATCTGTGGACATCTACAGAAATCGTCAGGATCTGTGCAACATCGATGTTAATCCTGATTCGCACATGAACAAGTGCCCTGTTCTTAACCCTGAGAGTCTCGGAAAATATCTCTATAGCAAGCTAGGTAGATATCACAAAACATGTCGTTTGAGGTACAGCAACTCGAGGGTGAAACAATTGAAGGGTAAATTATCTGAAGCTGTAAGTTAAAAACCTGTCTCTAAGGCAGTTTTAAAATGGAAAGACACGTGTCCACGCACGACAACACCAATGCTGCATTAATGAGTGCAGGTATTGATACGGACCTTTTAACTGGAGCAGGAGAATGTTTTACCAGAACTGTACCTCGTGTCTGACCTGAAGCTTAAGTACAATGACTATGTGACGTCTAATTTATCTGAGAACGCTGCAAACTCCAGCAATGTTTAATCTGATCACATCAGTTTTCAGAAAGACAATGTCGGTAAGACGAGTTTGTTTCGACAGCAGGATCGTATCTAATCTTGCCGCAACAATAGATGCGGATAGAGATGATAACACTTTAACAAAGACAGCACTCTTAAAGGAGATTAGAAAAGAAATCTTTCAATGTAGAAACGAATTCTATCAGAAGATTTATCTTCAAAAACATGTTCGATTTACTGATCGGACTGTAGAAATATAGTGTTTATGTGGATTAATCTGTTAAAGCAGGGCTATTGTATCATTTTAACATTAACTTTGCATAGTGATGATACGTTTATTGTGTCTCTTGTGATTATCTATTTCTACAGTGTTACGGTACCACGAGGTTTCTGGCGCAGTGACGCGCTTTCGAGCAAATATCGTGCTAGATACGTCACGCGCCGCAACCGAATCAGATTTAAGTGCACTTTTTCCATTGTAAACACTACATACGACGCGCAACACGTTCTACGAGGTCGAAATTTTCGAGGTCTCTAACACCGGAATGGAGCAATATTTAGACGATCTGACACTTTCTAGGGCTTAAGCAACCTAAGAGAAATTAGGGGAACAACTCAGAAAAAATTTTTAGTCGATATTCCGGTGTCTGTAGATGTCCGAAGTTTTGGCAGTAAAATGCTCACAACACAGCTTCTGAAGGCTCTAGAAGGTTCCCGATACCGTCAGAGTGTTCAGTACACTCCATTCTATCATATGCCCGTAAGAGCCTCTACAGTCTAACCAGAGCCCTCTCGCTTGCAGTAGCGCGCGACCGCCGTGAAACAAGCGCGTCACGCAGTACGCGTATACACATGGCTATTTGAACCCTGTGCGTCATTGACATACGTTGCATGCCACTTTTCGCCGAAGGCGAAACATGTATCAAGTGCGTCACGTTCAGAAAGCTTGAAAAAAGCGCCGCGCACAGGGATTGGCGTGCACTGCTGCGGCCAGGTAAAAACTGAACGAAGTCGTAATTACGAACTGGACATGGACAGGATTATTACTATCAGTAAAAAGTTTTGCAAAACTTGTTATTAGCCTGTCACTTCTTATAAATTAAGCACAAGACATAATTTAGCTAATACTTTAATTAAATTAAGTTTTTCAATATTTTCTTTTTATTAAAAAGATGGTTTATATTTTCCGCCCCCTTAAGAAGCTGCCCTAAACGGGTGAGTCTAACTTTACATGGGGACCTCAGGCTATCTAATCATGTTCATAAACATAAAGATTTATAATCGATCTATAATAGGCGGAATGACAGGCTGAGCGCCGCCTGCAGTAAGTCCAACTCGGCGTGCTTCTTGGTTGGCTATAAACTTACAATTAAGCTTTTTTACAACGATCTGGAAGGGTTGACACCGTCAATCAAATTATACAGCTACAACCTCTGTATCGAAATCTTAGATGTATTCACCATTAAACTGTTGGGCATCCTCCCAGTCTAAAAAGACGGGAAGCTGCAGTCTGTAGTCTCGTTCTGGGCAGTGCTCAGCTTGTCATTCCGCATAATCTCTATTCGGTTTATGTTTATGAACAGTATAGCCTGGGGTGAGGGGTCACCAGGTAAGTAGTCTCTAACAATCAAGCTTGTATAAATTCATTATGTAGTTAAACTTCTTTATACCAGGCCTCTCTGGGAAACCAAAAAGGCATGGCATTGAAAATTTTGGTATATTAATTATTAAAGTCACTATTGTGACGGTACATTAGAACTAGACAGAAACAAAGTGTGTAGTGAAGTGTGTAGTGAAGGGCCTGAACGGAACCCCTCGGTTTCAGTTCCTTGTTTAACACTGTCGTACAGCAAGTAATATAGAGGTTCACATAATTCCTATCACCAGTGCCCTGCAAATAACCTGTCAAGCATTTCATCTACCCCATTAGGGCCTCATACAGTGTCATAACATTGCCTGTTGCCCCCCCCCCCCCTGCTGAAAAAGCACCCCCTGTAGGGCCCCTCCCCTTATGGCGTCCCTCTCTAAAATTGGACTAATTAGATGAATTTCGATGATACGCCAGTAAAATCTCTAAAATACTGTGTTTCTAGAGCAAAACGCACAGTTTTGATAGTACCGTAATTAAGTTTTCAAAATTGTCCCACATTCAAACGATGATTTGGCGCCCTCCTAATATAGCGCCTCCCCCCCCCCCCCCCCCGCACAACAGGGTCGGCGGGGCCCTTCGTTACGCCACTGGCCTCATATGCACGTACTGTATTGTATTGTGATGGAATACAGCTAGACATGTTCCATACCGTGCACTTTTCAGAAAACGATTATATTTCACAGATAAGTTTTACTGTAAAGCACTGATCATGTAAACTGAATGTTCATGGATCATACCTCACCCGGCACTGCCAGCTCATGATTTTATCGATTATTTACTTTTGAAATCATTTATCATTAAAATCGTGACCTTTCCAATATCTACTTGCACGAAGTAGTAATAGTTTCACATTAACTCAGTGCACACTGCACACACCTTGCTAAAAACTGATAATTGTACAACCAAAACAATAGGCTACTTCCCCAATCAATTGTAAAATGTTATAATTTCTCATTTACATCTGTTATCATCTTCATAATATATCTATCAGATGTCACCATGATCGTATAACACAAGACCAAGTTGCTCAACTGTACAGACTGCATGAAATTTTCATGCTTGAACCATCAATCACGAATCAATGAAACTATCTGTTTTATCTAAAATTTTAACATACAATTTCGTTAATGCTGTACTCATTATGTTTGAATAACTTGGAAGACATTTATACAATCATTATCAAGAAAGATACATGTTTGACTGTATTGTAGTTGAATTGCACTGTTTGCAAGTTTTGATATGGGATTTCCATTATCAATTTGTATAAGCAAGATATGGATCATGATCGGTTTACTCTTCCATCAGACTCTTCTGCTGAAGCTCCCGAATCCTACCACTGGTCTACCTTTGAACCTGTCACATTAGATGAGCTAAAGGAAATCATTGACGAGTTTGGTATCAAATGTTCACCTTCTGACATCTTACCTACTACACTGCTTAAAGAGAACATCAGCATTCTGCTACCATTACTTCTACAGATTGTTAATGCATCCTTATCTCAAGGTTCAATGGACGGAGTCAAACTTGCTGATATTGTTCCCCTCCTGAAAAGTAACTCTCTTGATCCTAATGTCTTGAAAAACTTTCGCCCTGTCTCAAACCTCACTTTCCTTGGGAAGCTAATCGAGAGAGTGGTGTTAAAGCGCCTAAACGATCACTTAGATAAGCATAATCTCCACTGCCCAGAACAGTCTGCATACAAGAAGACCTTCAGCACAGAAACATTATTGATCAGAATATGGAATGATCTTCTAGTTGCATCAGATGAAAAGAGTGCTACAGTTGTCATGATGCTTGACCTATCAGCGGCGTTTGATACTGTAGACCATGATGTCTTACTGAACATTCTCATGAAGGAGATAGGACTAAGGGGCACTGTGTTAAAATGGTTTACTAGCTTTCTAAAAGGTCGTGCTCAGAGAATTCGACTTGGTTCTACTCTCTCTGAAGAAATAGTTATTAAGTTTGGTGTTCCTCAGGGCTCAGTTCTGGGACCTGTTCTGTTTAACCTTTATATCAGATCCATCTATAGATTTGTACAAGGAATGGACTTCACAATTTATGGGTATGCAGATGACCACCAGATCTTAAAGAGATTTAAACCCATCAACCAGTGCGAAACGTTACTCTCTAAGCTCAGGGGATGCTTTGCATCTATTAGAGCTTGGATGAAAAAATACTTTCTAGCAATGAATGACAGTAAAACACAGATAATCGTTTTTGGTCCTATGTCCGTCCTACGAGAGATCAATATAAAGGGAGTGAATTTTGGGAGTGACACAACTATTCGATTTGTGAGCACAGTTAAGAATCTTGGGATACATATGGACTCTGGGCTTACTATGAGCAACCATGTTGTTGAGTTGAAGAAGAAATGTTTCCTAACACTACGCAACCTCACTAAGATAAGGTTTCTGCTGACTACAAAACAGCTTAAGACAATTGTTAATAGCCTCGTTGTTTCTTGTTTGGACTACTGTAACGCCATGTTTTACGGCATCTCCAAGTACCTCATACATCAACTACAGCTTATTCAAAATGCCTGTGCAAAAGCAGTAACTGGAAAATATAAATTTGATCACCTAGGCGACGATCTTGATAAATTGCACTGGCTTAATATACCTAAAAGAGTGATTTTTAAAATATGTCTCCTATCTTTTAAGGCTATTAATGGAATAGCGCCACTGTACCTTCAAGATATGTTTAAGTATGCTCACCATGGACACACTGTTAGGCTCATAGTCCCTTATCGTTCAACCAAGGGTTTTGGTGATCGTAGTTTTAGTGTGGTTGGTCCACGAGTTTTTAATGCACTACCAGACTCAGTTAAACAATGTTATTCTGTTGAGGCGTTTAAGTCCGCACTGAAGACTTATTTGTTTACTTTATCTGACACTGAGGTAGCAAAAATGTTTTATTAATAATTTTAACCCTCTCTTTGACTTATCTAAATTATATTAGCTTTTTGGAAGTTTTATGAACGAATTTATACATAGAACTTTATTTTGCTTTTTATATATTGTTTTAAAAGTATTTTTGTAAACTAGTTGTAGTGACACTGCTGAGTAAAAGTGTACGCTTAATAGTGGTGTTTTTAAATTTCAATTTTAATTAATTAATTAAGCAAACTAAAAGTATCTATGAATTTGTAAATTCATTATTTAGGCACATTTCCACAGACAAATAGAGAAGGCACCATTGTGGAACATGTAGAGTAGATTCTTTACTTCATATGTTATTTCGAATCCGAACCCTTCTCCAATTACTGCATGCCAAGAAGGTCCAAACTTCGTATCCATTGCTTGCTGAAACGGAACCATTTGAGATATTATGTAGTAAGTAAATCTCAACAGCCATTTTTTAATAAACTATAATAACATGAAAATTTCGTTGAGTACTGTTACAATATAATGCAAATGTTTTTCAGTACTCACCTTCAACATCTGAGCAGCAGCTTCTAAATTTTCTGGAAATTTATCACAGGCAGTTACTGCTGTGTCAACAGCTTCTGATAACATCTCATCATCCATGTCTGAAAAGGTTTCAATTAGTTTAGTTGCTATAATTTGTAAACAAATCGATTTAAAGGTATTGTTTAGCAACATCATTCACCAGTAAATTAATGATTATAATATAGTAGGGGATATTCGTCTTAGCTAAGCTTCTGGGAGTTAAGCCAGGCAATCTTTCAGAAAATGACTCATATTTTGCAAATAAGTTTGAATGTAGAGCACTCATCATGTAAATGGAATGTTGCCGGATCATACTTGACAGTGGGAGAAAGTGAGGAATCTAGGAATGAGGTTCCTCTCCGATTTCTGTATTGAAAGTATGAAAAAGTCGCCTCTTTGAGTCTAAAACTAACTAATTATTGCATATGCACGTAATTGAGACTGGCTTCTCATCACTTTCCTTCCATTCTAAACTTTAGTAATACTACCTTTTCTACTATATTTCAAACGCACAGTAAGCGCGGAGCAAATATGCCAAACTATTCCAACGCACTACCAAGAAATACCAATAGGTAGCCATCTTCACTGTTCTGGCAGTTATGAATAAATGTGTTTACCGTAGTCATGAACACAGATCAGCATAGCATGATATAGTAGCCAAATTTCATTTCAAATATAGATTCCCTTGCCAAATTCAGAGTTAAGCCACTGGGACCTCACTTGGCACTGTATGCTCACGAATTTCCTAATCATTTATTATTAAAATCATTATCATTAAAATCGTGACCATTCGAAAATCTGCTTTCACAAAGTAGTAATAGTTCCACAATAACTCAGTGCACACACGCACACCTTGCTAGGAAACTGATAATTGTACAACCAAAACAATAGGCTACTTCCCCAATCAAATGTAAAATGTTATAATTACTTATTTACACCTGTTATCATAATACATCTATCAGTTGTCAACATGATCGTTATGTGTACTTGTTAGGTCGGTAAATAAAATTGAAAATATAATTGAGACAAATCAGAGCATGGCAATTGCTTCAGTACCTTTTAGGAACGTCTTGCCTTTTTAATGGATTATTCAATATTTATGATATGAATTTACAGAAAGATAGAGGATGTTTAACATGTCTTCTCAAGTTGAGAGGACGGATTTGTTATACTTTAATTCAATGACTTAATCCATAGCTAACCATGTGTTGGTCTGTAAATATTACCTGTATTTCTGACGAGGGAGTATGCATGAAGTCTCTTGTAGTCTGGTTCATTGTCCACTACTGGTTCTACGTCTGCCATAGTGAAACTGCCTCTAAACAAGAGACATTGTAATTATATGAGGTTTTTCCAGGGTCATCTCCCAATTTGTTATCAAAAGAGTACTAGAACGTTAAGACCAGTCCCGATATGATAAGTGCAATGTTGCAAACCATACAAAATGGCGGGAAACAAGCAATTTCGATAAATAAAACATGTCCAATAAATCTGAAAAGGCGATGGTATGGGGGTAGTGAGGAGAATTCACCTCTTTCCATACTAACAGCAAATTGGTAGTAACAATTACAGATTAGTGTAGAAAGTAAAATAAGGTTTTTAACATCTTCTATTATAGTATACGAAAACCACACAGCCAATTATTACACAGATAACGAATACAAGACCAAATCAAAATACGGTAACTATACACTCAGCAATTATCCAGAGCAGTAACAAACACAAACTGAAAGAGAAGAAAACGCAGTACTACTCCGTTAAGCTTGTTAAAAAGTTCTGCTTAATAAAATCCACTGTTGCTAGTGTGCATTGTTCACAGCTGCATAAGAGCGTCTTTTGCATTGCATAATGACTGGAAGCGGTATTGCTTACTACTTCAAGTTTATCAGATTTTGATAAGATATCGTTTTATATTAGGAAGATTGTTTTATATTAGGAAGATTGTTTAAATCAATCGTAAGCTTCCTCCATTCTGTCCAATTTTATGCAGAATGGTATTTTTGGCTCTGGTATTTCTGGCTCTGGTATTTCGGACCATATATAATTTTCTTCATGTCATGCTTCTGTTTAAAATATTTCACACCTAATGTGATTTTTGTATCATGACCAGTTCTGCATATCCCTCGGTTTTGGAATTTGACTGCCATTTTTGTAGTAGACCAAAGTCGTACATTTATACTATATATTTTATTAATGTGCAAGTTAATCATTACAATAACGTGTCTAAATGCTAGATCATATGTTTTTTGCTGTCTAAGTTCGTTGTTTTATTATCTTCAAATGTATTGTCCTAAAATCTACAATTCATGAATAAATCTCAGGATGACAAGCATGGACATGACAAACGGTAGTTCTATGAACGGTAGTTCGATGGGTGGTAAGTTATTTTAACATGATTATTACTTTCTAAATAACGTTTAATATTGTTTATTAAGCAAAGAAAAACAGAAACGTACTGCGAAGCCTGACAAAGTGTGCTATATCAGACACTAAGAACATTAAGCCAACTGAGAATTTTGAGGACTCTCAATTCTCACACTTCACAATTCATATTTGTCGATTGATATAAGATAGTGATCCTTTGGGGCCATACTTGTGCTATGCAATTTTATGTTTTCATTTCTCGTCAAACATCAAAGAGTCTAGCATGAGCTCGTAATAATTGCTGTTCCACATAATATATGAAAAATTATAGATTAAATGATCAATCAAAATGGCTAGGGGAAGGGACCAGGGAGAGTGGGAATAACTGTTTTCGGTCAGAATTTACAATTTTATTCAATTCCGTAAATTCCGATGCATCCATGTAACTTTCTACTAACATGAAAAAGTTTCACTCATAATTCATTAGATGTGCTTGTGATCGCCCAGAGTTAAAAGGCAATAAATTGACACAGGAAAAACAAACAGTGCCACCCCTATTGTATATATAATATAATATATAATGTATTATATATTGTTTGAATTAATTCAGTATCTAAGATTACAAAGACGAGCTCTACCGTGTTGGCTAATATTGAATATTGGTATGGGTTGGATAGAGCGCAGTACAAGCTCTCCATTCCCCTACTATACCGGCCATTTCTCTGGTTCAAAGTGTTATTACTAAAATATTGTGTTCAGTTTAACCTGCTAGTCTACCTTTTTACTTATAAGGGCTAATAAATATGTACTGCTGATGGAATATATTTGATCAGGAGATCATGACGCAGTGCCTGACAGCGCAGATCCCAGTTCATCGGGTGAGTTCCTATTTTAAACATCAGGTATATTTTATTACCTTGAATCCCTGTGTGTCCATGGTTAATGGTGCGTACCTCTGTAGTCTGTAACTCTAATACTCGGTGTGCACAAAATCAAACCTTTATTAAGGGGACGCCTCCCAAATAATGATCATGTTTCAACGTGCAGATTTCATTAACTTACTAAACTAAGAACCTACACGTCTTCTTAATAATAACTAGCGGTTTCCACTCCAGGAATGAAGATGATGGATGGTCACATGATGCCGGCAGATGATAGTATTGCGATGATGATGATGCAGATGACTTTCTATGCTGGGGTCGATTGTACCGTCCTTATTAAACAATGGAAGGTGAATAAAACCAGTTCAAGAATACTGTTAAATTATATTATGAATAATATTACTACGCATTAGAAATTGAAAGTGTTATCAGTTATCTAAAACAAAGTCTGTATTTGTCACACATACGGTCACTCTCCAAATTTTGAGGGATAATTATGTTTTACTTCCGGTGGCTGCCAAATTCTTTTATCTCGTTTTTGTTCCGTTAACGAAATATATTTTGTTTTAATTTGCTGCAGATGCATTTCTATGCTAGGGCTGATTGTACTGTCCTATTTAGGACATGGAAGGTAAATTTACACAATTATCGTATCATTAGAAATCTATTAGTATTGATCTATTAGTTGGTTTTTTCCCCGTTCGTTTCACCTCACATTTGTCATGTAATTTATATCTTGTCAATACGACATTCTGTGCCGGGGACTATTTCACCGTTAATGCTCATGTTCGGCACTGGAAGGTGAATTACCGTACGATACTTTTAATCTTAAATGTTTATCAGATACTCAACGACTACAACGAATAAATGCTACCTCCCGTTTTATTAATTAACTTATTTCTTATTTCCCCCACGGAGTACACATAGATTTTGTTGAATTTCAACGTACACATTCACGAGTTCGTGTTTCTGTAAAGATTAGAGAATCATGTTTCGGTTCATTCCACATTGCTCACAGAATGAAAATGGTACAAATAACTAAATTCAGTCATTGATCCTCCGAATTTGATTATGTTGAGCTTCTTTCGGTGTATAAATCAGAGGGCTATTTATAGAATTAAATTAGGCGTTGAGAAGTTAGGGTGAGATGTTAAGATAAGGAAAGTGTATTCTGTTTCTGTTCCAGGAAAACTGGATAATTAGCGCTGGTTATCAATAATGAGACTTAATGACGCGGACTTTAAAAAAGGGAAAAGCGAAAGCTTCACTTATTAGTCAGTATAACTTAATTTAGGCGACACATGTGTACGATAGTGGAATCAGGAATCTTAGATATGTACTGAGTTGATCACAGCATAGTTGTTACAACAAACTATTCCCTGGTCTAAGACCAGTGGTCTTATATCCAACTTGTATCAAAACTTAAACACTTTTTCGTTTCAGACTTCAAATGCAGGAGAGTTGTTAGGTACAGTTATATTCTGGTTTCTTATAGCGCTCCTACATCAGGGCACTAAACGACTGAGACGATCTCTTCAAAAGTAAGATATCTCATTTAATTTTAATAGTTAATTTTAGCTAGTTATTTAATTTAATTTTAGTTGCTTACTGCTTTACTGTCAATTTAAGTTACTTTAAGTTACTTTCATTTACTTTTATTTATTTTTAGTTACTTTTAATAACCGTAAGATATCAGATATGATTTCTATGGTTCATTTGCAATAGTCTAAACGCGATGGTTAGCACTTACTAGCGTTAGTGCGTTACCTATCAATAGCTATCGCAACCTAGCGCTAACTAGCGCTAACCATCGCATTAAGCCTACCGCAAAAGTCTATAATCTAAGAACTATAATACCTATAACATCCCTTTTTAACAGAAGACATAATGTGGCAACAAGCCGGGGAGGGTTTGCTAAACTGAACGAACAAGAAGGTAGTCCTGTACAGAGTCCTGGCCCTGAGGTATCTATCGTGGAGGTATGTGTGGAATTTAGTGGTTACTATGGCAATGGTTATCATGACAACCAAAATCAATCGTGGTTGCCATGGCAACTTCACAGGTTAATATGACAACTACACACGACAGATATACCTGGCGTTGACAGCTACACCTGGGAATATCTAGGACACATCATATTACCATCATATGATATTATATACTGACTGTAGATGTAATCTTCTCTGAGGTTTAGGGCTAGGCATAGTGGGCAACTTTCCAATTTGTCCGATATGGCCGCATTAGACACAGTGTTACCGGTGTAACGGAGCGTAACTGTCCCTTTTCTTATATTAGACCTGTTAGAGTAACACGGAGTGTATCAACCTGGCTCCAGGATTCTACGTAGTATTACAATAAGAAGATTCCAGCATTATAAACACATTCTGTGCCGGGTCACACGCACTCACTACCACGTACTAAACACACTACCACACAATATATCCACACAATATATTATCTACACACAAACTCACGTATTTTACCCCAGTCATTTGCTATGGACCAGGTTAAGGAGTTCATGGCTCAGATGTACACAGCTCCAACAGTGGTATGAGAAACTTTGTGTGCTCCCGCGAATAGTATTAGTGTTAGGTTTATTGGTGTGGTGTTACTAGTAAAAATGTGATGTTGATAACATTGTGTTGATAAAATTCTCATTAATATTATAAGAATATGATATTATGAGTTGAATGTTTTGTTTGCAATCATTTAAAGAGTGTATGTGAACTCTAATAGTGGGGTACTATGTCTGCTACTGTATGTGAATAAGGGTCCATGTTTAGAAAAGTATCGAATTTAAGACGAAGGGAGGTTTCAAAGATCGTCTAATGTGTTTAGCAAATGTCTTTGTTTGGAAGATTGCCAAAACATCGTGACTGGACCCATCACTGTTATTCGCAACTGGAGAGTAGCAGATACAGGGTGTTTCAAGACTCGTGTACGTGACTTGGTGTGCTGTTATGTGTGAAAACTGTAAATTGTTCAGTGAACGTGATGAAAGTGTGCTGTTATTCACTCATACCAATCCAGTGGGATTTCAGTCAGAGATCCTGAGATATTTGCTGAAATATGTGATGTTCTCAACACAACAATGGTTATACACGCAGGTCTGGCTCCTAATAGTTCAGATAACTCATGACTTATTCATACCCATTATGTAAATGACGTGCCAATGACCTCCTAGCAATAAATTGTACACCCTACTGACTACTGACTACTCATAACATACTACGTATGGCCCGATTAGCAATAAATTGTACACCCTACTGACTACTGACTACTCATAACATACTACGTATGGCCCGATTAGCAATAAATTGTACACCCTACTGACTACTGACTACTCATAACATACTACGTATGGCCCGATTAGCAATAAATTGTACACCCTACTGACTACTGACTACTCATAACATACTACGTATGGCCCGATTAGCAATAAATTGTACACCCTACTGACTACTGACTACTCATAACATACTACGTATGGCCCGATTAGCAATAAATTGTACACCCTACTGACTACTGACTACTCATAACATACTACGCGACGTATGGCCCGATTAGCAATAAATTGTACACCCTACTGACTACTGACTACTCATAACATACTACGTATGATTACCCTTCTATTTGCTAATGACTTGACATGTGGACCGAATTAAACTGGACGTTAACAATCCAAATTTACACTGGCTAAGTGTAGAAGACAGAAGTAGTGTAGAATGAAGAATTTCAAATTATTTGCTAATTTTGCTAATTTAGCCATGTTGTGCACTACAAACATGGTGATGTTTATGTTATACTATATTTTACACTCTTAATTATGTTTGTCATGTGGAATTGTTATGTATAAAGAAACTGCTGGGGTACATTTTATTATGTAAATAAAATAAACACTACAAATATATTATATATTATAATAACGCTGTCCCAATGAAATACGTTTATTTTATGATAATCGTGACCAACCATTCCTTTGTTACTTTACAAGTTTACATGTGCACATTAGACCATTGTCTCAAGCACGTACGTGTCAAAACAACTGTCATTTACTATAAGTCATAAGTGCAATATTCGATGATGATTTTATTTGAATTATTCGTGTGCCCTCACTAAAAACGTACTTATATTTTCAGGCCCCTAATAGTTGGGGTAAGCTGAAGAATCACCTACTACAATCCATTCTGCAGCTCGTACAGACTACTACTTCCTTCCTCCTTATGTAAGTTTAGCATTTCTTAAATTATTATTTTTCTCGAAACCGGACTTTTCTAGACTGGCAGTTGCGAACATAATGAAAATATGTCGTCATCGACTATAAATAGTATAATAACCACTAACCAGTGTAACAGTGTTTATGATATTATCCCTGAAATAGTGCTGTGCACAATGATTACTTATCTTTGATCTTTTAATCAGTAGTTTCAAGCCGCACCCATCACTCTTCACACACAATTACATCTCCGCTTAATTGACATCTAAATAGTAAATAGTGAGAACTTGTCCACTATGTTATTGTGACAGACATAGTGGACAAGTTCTCACTTTGAAGAATCATCGGCTTCATACAAGCAACAAAACGATTTACTAAATGCGGAGAAAACAAAGTTTAACTTTTTTCTCCGCTAATAAATTTGTACCGGGGTAAGCACAGGGCTCCAATGCTCTATCTTACAGTGGTCACGATCTTTCCATTAGTGATAATGACAACAGCCCCCTACGAAGAAGAAGACATCTAAATCTTAAAATAAAGCGCTCACGTAGCATCTCTTTCAAGGTCCTCAGTCAGAACTGGAATTATCTAAGCTTGACTATTGTATACCCTCCAGGTTGGTATTCATGACGTACAATGTTTGGTTAGCAGTTGCCATAGTACTGGGAGACATGTGTGGTTACATGATATTTAGCTACGATACCCCCGATACATCCGGTGGGTGTGGCTAAACTCCTTGACAACTTGTTGGTACCATGGTAACATGAATCCTGTATCTTGGTTTCTATGACATACCTTTTTACCGAGATTTTCGATATTATTGACTGATCAGTATGATCACTGGACATTTGATTTGATACTGATTGTTATTGATCTTGAGCCGAGGCATTTAGCTCAACTGTTTGGATTTAAGAAAATAACATTCTCTCAACAGGAACTGTTTGTATAAAGGATACTTCACCAAATTGGTGATTATATTTTATGGAAAGAGGCTAACCAAAATTGAAGATATTTTAAACCGGCCGCGTTCTTCATTGGCATGTTAAATTTCATTTGGAAGTTAAGTTTTTTTGTTTGACTTTTTTCATATTATGTGCATTGTGCATGAACGTTTTCGGGGGACCGACATTTTTATCTTGTAAAGAGTCTGATCGATTTAAGTTATGATGCCACTGTTTTGAGGGTAGAATTTATAAAGAATTTTCATGCCAATCATTTTTAAATATTTTACGATTTTGAATTAAGTTGATGATGTTGAAACTGTATTATTTATGGTTATTTTGACTGTTCAACATCTTATGATTCATCATTTAAACCACTTCTATTATTCTTCATATTAGCGTCGTAAAACGTAGTGTTTATTTATGATAGTAGAGCTATTTTAAGTAATATGTTTGCGGTTCCGTAACAATTTATCGCTATGAACATGAAGTTTATTTAAACGCCTACTGATTATGTAATTATCTAATAAAAAGTAGTGCCATCAGTTGCCTACAATTGTCATCCTTTACATGCGACACAGCTCAAAAGTTGCAAATCAAAGCCAAATTCCTCGATAATTATATATCTTACCGCTACACGATAGTTTTGTCTGCAGCTCTCCGATAAAATGTTCTAAAATAGAACAAAGATTTTCCCTTAATTATTGAACCATTAGGCCATTAGGTTTCTCCTATTCATGAAACTTATATGAAGAACGATATTATTAGCATTCAGTGTCTGGCAGTTTCCGGGATTGTACATAGAATGTAAGCTAGTAGCTACTTATAAAGGTAAACAATGCCGGCTTCGTGTAGTCGATACTTCATACTCGTAATTAGGCTTAGTCAAAGGAGCCAAATTATGAGAGTAATCTGAAGTGTTTCATAGTTGTAAGACGCGGCGTCTTTTTAATGTTTAAAGACTGAATCAAAGTGAAGATAATCATGGTTAAACCATCGCGCGCCGCAACGTGAGAAATTCATGGGGTAAATTTAATCGCAATATGATTAAGTTTATTAATTGTACTTGTTTGTTTGTTTGTTTGTTTATAGAACCCGTCCCCAATCTCGTATCGGAAAATGACTAAACTCAGGTCTGAGTGTGAATACGGGTGGTACCTGCAAGAGTGTTCATTAAGCATTTAGAGTTCTGTAAAACTGCAGTTACAATTGTGCTAGAGTATTTTTAGTATATGCGATTGGTATCAGATATATATCCCTACATGCTTCCAAAATTTGTGAAGCCGGGGTACATACATATCACATTACACCGGAGCCTACACAGTGCAATCTCCTCCGGTCGATCTGCGCCGCGTATGTTTATATAAGCGCGCGGCGCAGACTGGAGGAAACCACACTCTGCAAGTTCGATCCAGTGCAATGCTACATGTACGTACTACGGCTTCATCTCCAACTTTCTGCACAATGTACTGGAATGTTTTGAAGGAAAAGAAAGAACAAAAAAAAGTGATATATATAAATAAAATCAGCGATTTAATGTTAGCCTTAGGAGGGTAAGTGTAACTTTAATTCCCTGGTTTCTAAAATCAGCTTTTAAAAAAAATAATAAAGTATGTAACGTCGATACCAAACCGATTATCGAGCGATAATAACTGAGTAGTTGATTCCTGGGTTGCGGAGTCATTCAGATGTTCCAGTTTTCGAATGTGGTTCTTGTTCAATTCTTGACCAGAAGTGTCTAATGAAGTAAGACAGACAAGCAAACTCTTCCTTAAATGCAGATATAAGTCGTCTCAATCCCAGAAATTATGAATGATGACCCAGTGTAAAAGTGCAGAAATCGGCCGAAAATAACAAAGACTAAAAACAGTTAAAAAGTGACAGGATTCAAACACAAGGAAAATTAATAACTTAGAGCGTAATAAGGAATATCTCCAAACAGAGTTTTTTGAGAGAGTGAGAGGTTCTTTAATAAGAGCTAATGATTAAATGAGACCCACTAAAGGTACTAAATTAACCGGACTGCTAGCAAGGAATCGAGAGTGGGAATAAAAATAAAAGCGGAATAAATTTTAAGATAATCATTAATTGTACTTAGTAGTTTAACTATGAGATATCAGGACGTCCAATTCTTCTCTGGACATCTTGAATTTCAGGATGTAACACACAGTTAATGTAAACCGTACAATGCACATCATTGCATCCGCGCCCTGAAAATACTAACACAAAGGCGTCTGCAGGACAACATGACTCCGTAAGGCTGGGGTGCCCTGGGCGAGACAGCCCCCAGGGGTGCGCGGCTCCTGTTTTAGCACGTGTGGTGGCGAGTCTTCTGAGACATTCGTCATTCAGTTCTCAAGTTAACGTTTCGAGTTTGCTGTCGTCTGTGTGTAATGTGAAGAAAATATGGGCGTGTGCGTGTATAATTCATTCGATGTAACTCCAAAATACTGCTTCAAAATCTTATCGATATTGTTAATTATTTGAAAGCATTGCTTTTGTTAGGACTAGTAAGTAAGATCAAGCCTCCTGCTGTGATATTTGTAAGCCTGGCTTTCACACAAGCATTACTTTCGTTAGAACTAATTCTAATAAATTAGAAGTATGTAATTGTAACAATTGAATCAACACTGTGCCAAATCTAGAGATTAATAACTTTTGATCCATAAACAGTGCTGAGATTAACGTCCGTGGCCCGGACGCCCAAGTAAACCGCCACTCGCCAGCCAGGTCCCACGAGCCACCACTGTGTAGATAAGTCTCTATCGTCTACTGAGCTACTGCAGGTGAACAGGCTTAAAAACTATTTTCTATCGAATTGCCATTATTTTGTGAATTATTGAAACATTGATTACAATTTATTCAAGAATCGATTACATTCAAATAACAAAAATGTCGCAACTAAGTTTATTGAACTCGTCAAACTAAGCTTCCAATCTGGTAAATGCAAACTTAAGATCCCGAGACCTCTAGATGACGGTCATCATTTGGATTTCATCTATATTATTTCTGGAGAACAAGCAATTTAGTGCATTTGTTGCTTTACTCATTGTGAGCATTTCGAAGCCCCTGCGGCCCTCTTAAATCAATAAATCATTGCTCTATTTTTATAGAAAATATGAACCAACTCCCCAAGATGACCGTCATTTGTTCTTAAAACTTACCTATGGACTATCTGTGTATATTGTCTAACTCTAACAAACTACGATCTGAACTGTATTTAATGGTTGACTCTAAGATTATACTAGTTTAAGAAGTTAATATATTCAAATAACAAATTGAAAATTCTCAACCGAAGCCTCTAACTTAAATCGAAAGGGACTTCACGTTTCAGTAAGATCAACAAAATGATTTTAAAAAACACAAATACAATAATTTACGATAATAGTTTTGATCTTATAACAGTAACTTTCTGCATTATTGGGTTTGCAGTTCGCAGTTTTGAAACATCATACCGGGTCTTGGAGCTGCATTGTGTCAAACTTATTAATTAAAATTTAAATCAGCTCTACTATACGTCAAATAATACACCTAAACACAATTTCTCTCATAATGTTTGAGTCTAATACCCTCTTCAGCCTAACTAACACTTGCATCCTTTACTATGTTGGATGTGAGGCGTCAATAAAACGTTATCGTTATCTGGATAGCTGAATATTTCTTGCTTCTCTTGTACCTTAATTATCTGAAGACATTTGTTTCGTGAACATTTTTTGGGACATCGTTTTTACCGTCATTAAGTCATTTAGTAATTAAGAAATACGGCGGAAAAGTATTTTTGATGGTCAGGAGTTATGAACATAATTACATCGCCCAAGCCTCCGCAATGTTTAATATCAATGATCAAAATTGTATTGCAACCTAATGTAGCAACATCTTGTACTGACCATTGGAGCTAAATTAAAATTCCTGACATCATTTAAAATAAAAACCTCGTCTACTAGTAGATTAGCAGCCTCCTCAATATTTATATTCTCCTTAGCAGATGTCTCGAACCAGCCCAGGAACCCCCGCTCCTCACAGTACCGGTCCAGATGTGACGCTACAAAGCCTTCTTCTATCAGATCACACTGGGGTACAGTTATCTTATATATTTGTAATGGTAAATAACAATTTACTTTGAGTTTGAGGTAATGTTGGTAAATCCTTATCTTCAAGTTAAGTTACTCGTTATTTAATGAGATTTTAATCATTCTAAAACAAAATCATGGTTACTTTTATTATTTGTATGATAACACCGATCAATCTAGACTTATATCCTCCGACCAGTCGCGACCACAGAAAACATTATCTCGAAAATGCACACTTTACTAATTAGAGTATGTACTGCTTTATAAGTAACCACAGCAACCCACCTTATTAGCCAGCAAAACTACAGGTATATTCTGACCCCCTGGGAACGTAACCTTCTCATCAATATCTGCCTTCCACTTCTGAACCGCATCAAATGTAGACATTCTGGTTATATCGAACACTACGAAGGCTCCCACCGCTTCTTTGTAGTAAACTCGTGTCATGTTCCCGTAACGTTCCTGTCCTGGGTTGATTTGTTTGTGAGGTTAATTGTTGCAGCTTTTGTGCTTTCCATTTGGACAATAATTCATGAAAGTCCGTCCAATCCTAGTGTATTTTTGTTTCAAGATTCGCTCAAACTTTATATTAGTGGGACGACCGATGAGCAGTGAGCACCCATCTGGGATGACTTCCTACAGTTTAAACTACTATAGAAAAAAGTAATGAAATTCTCTGCCCAACCTCTGCTTAGCTGCACTTAATACTTTGACTCATAACGATTAAGTTTCTGATTCCACTTTCATCGGGTGAGGCAGAAATAAGATGAGGTAACAATTGACATGCAGCTACTTTAAGATAGCAATAACGTTATTTCCTGCCAAAAAGTCAACATCACTTCTTAATCCTTTAATGCTATTGTGATCTAAAAGTTAAAACTGATAATTTTTCCGTGCTGCTGAGACGTTTTTCTCTACAATAATCAGTACAATTGACGTCATGATGTTCATCTCAAATATTGATTTACACTTAAAATCAATCCGATTAATTTAAGTGATCAACCCATTCCCCGATCGAATTAAAGCTAGGTGGTTCTTTGTTTATACTTAATATGGCACTGGTCAAATTTCATAGCATTACAGCCTCATTCCACTTGGGTTTAAATGTTGGGGGGGTAAAGTTCTTCATATGTGCAGTGTTTTATTTCATTATTTGGGGGGGGGGGGGGGGGGGGGGGGGGGGGGGGGGGGGGGGGGGGGGGGGGGGGGGGGGGGGGGTGGTTGGAAAAAAAACGTTTTGGGGGGGGGTTTTTAAAATTTGTTTTGGGGGGGGGGGGGGGGAACCTTTTTTGTTTTTTGGTTTTTTGAGGGGGGGGGGAAAAGGGAGGAGACCCGGAGGGGGGCCGGGGCGGAGTCGTTGTTTTTTGGGGTTTTAATTTTTCCGACTTGTTATAAGTTTAGTAAAAAAAAATGGTTAGTTAAGGGTGTTTTTCCCTTATCCATAATGCCCCCGTTAAATGTCATTTTATCTAAACCACAACCCCGGGGGGTTTTTGGGGGGGCCCCCGGGGTTTTATTTTGGGGGCTAAAAAAAAAGGGGGGGTTTTTTTCCCCTCCCTAAATTTTCCCTTTATAGTCCCCCCCCAAGCTCCTCTTCGGATTTCCCCCCCCCCCCCCTTTTTTCCCACCCCTTTTTGTTTCCCCCCCAGCCCTTAACCCCCCCTCATCCCCCCCCCCCCCCCCCCCTCTCCCCGTTTTTCCCCCCCTTCCCGATTTGGGGGACCAAAAAAAGGCTTAAAATGGGCCAAAAATTTATTTGCCAAAAATTTTTTTCCTTTTCCATTTTTAAATACATTTCTATTTTCTTTATTTGTCATATGAATCTTTAACGATCATTCCAAGCGTTATAAAGCATGAAACATGTCTCTTATTCAAGTACTAATAATAATTTGCGAATTTAAAGTCAAATATGAAGACCTAAATTCATGGCATAAATGGAGAATTGGCCAATCAAAATTTCCATTTATGCCATAAAACGTATGCCATTTATGCCATTTTATGCCATTGGTACCCCCCGTCCTCCTTCTGAGTCCTCCTCCTCATCCTCCTCCTCAGTCATCCTCCTCTTCCTCCTCAGTCCTCCTCCTCCTCATCCTCCTCCTTCTCCTCCTCATCAGTCCTCATCCTCTGTCCTCCTCATAATCGTCCTCGTCCTCATCCTCATCCTTAGTCCTCCTCCTCCTTATCCTCCTCCTCAGTCCTCCCCCAGTCCTCCTCCTCATTCTCCTCCTTCTCCTCCTCCTAGCCTCATCCTCCTCCTCCTTCTCCGCTTTCTTCTTCTCCTAATCAGTCCTCCTCCTCGTCCTTAGTCCTCGTCCTCGTCCTCCTCAGTCTTCCTCCTCAGTCCTCGTCCTCATCATCCTCCTCCTCCTCCTCAACAGTCCTCCTCCTCCTTCTCCTCATCAGTCCTCATCCTCAGTCCTACACTAGTCGTCCTCGTCCTTAGTCCTCGTCCTCCTCCTCTTCCTCCTCCTGAGTCTTCCTCCTCCTCCTCATCAGTCCTCCTCCTCTTCAGTCCTCCTCCTGAGTCCTCCTGAGTCCTCCTCATCCACCTTCTGAGTCCTCCTCCTGAGTCATCCTCCTCCTCCTCCTCCTCCTCCTCCTCCTCCTCCTCCTCCTCCTCATTCTCCTCCTTATCCTTCTCCTCCTCAGTCCTTCTCCTTCTCCTCCTCCTTTTCCTCTTCCTTCTCCTCCTAATCAGTCCTCTTCTTTAGCCCTCGTTATCATCCTCCTAGTCCTCGTCCTTAGTCATCGTCCTCCTCAGCCTCCTCCTGATCCTCCTCTTTAGTCCTCTTCCTCCTCCTCAGTCCTCATCCTCAGTCCTCCTCCTCCTCCTCCTCCTCCTCCTCCTCCTCCTCCTCATCCTCATCCTTCTCATCCTCCTCAGTCCTCCTCGTCAGTCCTTCTCCTCCTCGTCAGTCCTCCTCCTCCTCCTCTTCAGTCCTCCTTCTCCTTCTCCTCATTCTCCTCCTACTCATAAGTCCTCCTCCTCAGTCCTCCTCCTCCTTCTCCTCCTCCTATTTCTCCTCCTTTTCCTCCTTCTCCTCCTACTCCTAAGTACTCCTCCTCAGTCCTTCCCCAGTCCTCCTCCTCATCAGTCCTCCCCCGGTCCTCCTTCTCCTCATCATCCTCAGTCCTCCTCCTCATCGTCCTACTCAGCCCTCCCCCAGTCATCCTCCTCCTCAGTCCTCCCCAAGTCCTCCTCTTCCTCAGTCCTCCCCCAGTCCTCCTTCTCCTTTTCCTCATCCTCATTCCTCCTCCTCAGTCCTCCTCCTCCTCCTTCTTCTTATCAGTCCTCTTCCTCAGTCCTCCTCTTCGTCCTCGCTCTCGTCCTCCTCCTCCTCCTCCCCGTCCTCAGTCCTCCTCCTCCTCCTCCTCATCAGTCCTCCTCCTCCTCTTCAGTCCTCCTCATGAGTCCTTCTTCTTATCCTCCTTCACCTCCTGAGTCATCCTCCTCCTCCTCCACATTCTCCTCCTTATCCTCCTCCTCTTCAGTCTTCCTCATGCTCCTCCTCATTCTCCTCCTTATCCTCCTCATCCTCCTCAGTCCTCCTCCTCATCCTCCTCTTCCTTCTTCTCCTAATCAGTCCTCCTCCTCAGTCGTCTTCCTCCTCTTCCTTAACCCTTGTCCTCATCCTCCTAGTCCTAGTCCTTAGTCCTCGTCCTCCTTAGTCTTTCTCCTCAGTCCTCCTCCTCCTCCTCATGAGTCTCATCCTCCTCATCCTTCTCCTTGGTCCTCCTCCTCTTCCTCAGTCCTACTCCTCAGTCCTCTTCCTCTTCCTCATCCTCTTCAGTCCTCTTCCTCAGCTCTCATCTTCTTCCTCTTCAGTCCTCCTCCTCTTCAGTCCCCAGTCCTCCTCCTACTCGTCAGTCCTCCTCCTCCTCCTCGTCCTCCTCCTCAGTCCTTCTCCTCCTCCTCAGTCCTCCTCCTCCTTAGTCCCCTTCTCCTTCTCCTTCTTCTCCTCCTACTCCTAAGTCCTCCTCCTCAGTCCTCCTCCTCCTTCTCCTCCTTTTCCTCCTTCTCCTCCTTCTCCTCCTACTCCTAAGTCCTCCTCCTCCTCAGTCCTCCCCCAGTCCACCTCCTCATCAGTCCTCCGCCAGTCCTCCTTCTCCTCCTTCTCATCCTCAGTCCTCCTCCTTCTCCTCCTCATCAGTCCTCATCCTCTGTCCTCCTTATAATCGTCCTCGTCCTCATCCTCATCCTCATCCTTAGTCCTCCTCCTCCTTATCCTCCTCCTCAGTCCTCCCCAAGTCCTCCTCCTCATTCTCCTCCTTCTCCTCATCCTTGTCTCATCCTCCTCCTCCTTCTCCGCTTTCTTCTTCTCCTAATCAGTCCTCCTCCTCCTCCTACTCCTAAGTCCTCCTCCTCAGTCCTTCCCCAGTCCTCCTCCTCATCAGTCCTTCCCCGGTCCTCCTTCTCCTCCTCCTCATCCTCAGTCCTCCTCCTCATCATCCTACTCAGTCCTCCCCCAGTCATCCTCCTCCTCAGTCCTCCCCAAGTCCTCCTCTTCCTCAGTCCTCCCCCAGTCCTCCTTATCCTCATCCTCAGTCCTCCTCCTCAGTCCTCCTCCTCCTCCTTCTCCTTCTTATCAGTCCTCTTCCTCAGTCCTCCTCCTCGTCCTCGCTCTCGTCCTCCTCCTCAGTCCTCCTCGTCCTTAGTCCTCGCGTCCTCTTAGTCCTCCTCCTCCTCCTCCTCCCCGTCCTCCTCCTCCTCCTCCTGAGTCCTCCTCCTCCTCCTCCTCATCAGTCCTCCTCCTCCTCCTGAGTCCTCCTCCTTATCCTCCTCCACCTCCTGAGTCCTCCTCCTGAGTCATCCTCCTCCTCCTCCACATTCTCCTCCTTATCCTCCTCCTCCTCAGTCCTCCTCATGCTCCGCTTCATTCTCCTCCTTATCCTCCTTATCCTCTTCAGTCCTCTTCCTCATCCTCCTCTTCCTTCTCCTAATCAGTCTTCCTCCTCAGCTCAGTCCTCCTCCTCCTCTTCGTGAGTCGCATCCTCCTCATCCTTCTCCTTAGTCCTCCTCCTCCTCCTCAGTCCTACTCTTCAGTCCTCCTCCTCCTCCTCATCAGTTTACACAATTTATTGTACTTACTAAAATGTTTTTAAACGTATTTGAGTCTGTAAAATATTGACATGTTACTGTTACTGACTCAAAATGTGCTCGAGAATTTTTTTGTTTAACAGAGTTTTACTCTCCAGTACTATGGAAAAGTTCAAGAATCAACAGTTCCCACAGTCAGACAACGAATGAGTGTGGAAAAGTTGTTACATGATAAATAAAGATTTTGATGAATAAAGTGATTTTCATCTCTTTTAAAATTAATGTTATTTAAAATTGTGTAGACTATTCTTTGTATCTAACTGAGGATTGGAAGTTTGAGAAAGGACCATGGTCAATGGTCATTAACCGTGCTACCCATTTCTGCAGATAGCCTGTTACAAATTGTGGAGACAATTTAAATGAAAAGTTACTAAAGCGTTCCCTATTTGTTACGATTGTTATTACCAACCGTACCTCTTTCAAATGTGGACCGGGGTGGATGTTATTGTCAAACAAGAGTTGATACGACAGTGTGTCGTTTTTCGGACGAAACGATTCTTGTTTGGAACTAGAAACCATTTTGGGGTTCTGGGACCACCACCAATCGATTTCTTGTCATATTTAAGTACAGAAATAGCTACCTATATCGCCTAGAAACCTCAGAGGAAAGATTTAAATTTTCCCGATTTTTCCGATATGAGGGTTGATGAGGCCAAAATCGGGATCGGAATGATCGGAAATGATCGGGTTGGACCCCCCCCCCCCCCAATTTTCAGTAATGGTTGGTTTTTCGAAATCTGAGTTTGTTTGCTTTACTTAATTGTTAGGGCTTTATTTTTTCCTATTCGGGCTTAAGTTTTCAAAATGCCTTCTAGTGAACATCTAAATTGTACATTGTACAAGTATTATTATAATTAAATACTTATTTCCTTATCAAATGTTTTTGAAATAAGTTAATACATAATATTTATATGATAATATTTATATTATATAAATATAATATTATATAAATATCATATAAATATTATACATAATATTTATATGATAATATTTATATTATATAAATATAATATTATATAAATAATATTATATATAAATATAATATTTATATGATAAGTAAGATAATTTATAAAATAAGGTCGCCATGCAATGCTTGTCAGCTTATACATGTCGCGGCATTTCATTAGTAAATAATATGTATTATCCGCTACGAATACAATGCCTGAATCCTGATACGTGCATAATTTTAGCCCCCCCAATTGTCGTTACATCGTTTTTAATTATCATGCTTGCGATTATATGATCGGAATAAAAATACTGCGCAATCACCTGAATGGTCTCTTCATTTTGAAGTTTTCATATCTACGTAAATGCGTATCTGTACGAATTTTCTCCATATATATACATGTATATGTATAGGGAAAATCCACACCGTGTTAAATTTGCCAGATTTGACTCGTTTTGGGTATTGTCACTATTGACCTTTGGATAGTGTCCAGGATTTAGTTTGTGTTAGATTGTACAGTAGTTTAATTACGAGACAAAGCTCATCATCTGTTGTCATACACTCTGACGGGACAATGCTAAATGCAGATTACTGCAGACTTATTTCATGGCTTAATAACTCGTGCAATAGTAATATAGTGTCCAGTATTAAACTTAGTATTAAACTTATATAATACAGTGGTTGGTATTAAACTTATTTTGTGTTAGAGAGGGCTTTGTGGGGGATTTTACTTTTTAACTTACTAATAAGCTCACTCTAATGACCATGCATAACTGTAACACGTGATCTGATCCACAGGTTAACTTAAATATGGTTAGATTATTCAAATATCATGCATGATATTCGAGAATTTATCGTTTTTAACGTTTATTGCGGCCTTTTTCCGTCGAAATTGAACTGAACATAAACCGATGTCAACAATGGATATTTATATCTAATATCTATTTATACCGATGATTGATATCGTGTTTTCTTTATATCATTAAAAAAAATCGTTACAGCCCACTAGTTTTGATTGTTCCAATTGTTTTCCTGCATATCTGTTAAGCGCTCTTTGTGAAACTAGAGCAACAACTTATTATTAAATTGATATCTTTTTAGCAATATTTATTAACAGTTTATATAAAATGATATTCCGATATTTTTTGTTGAATTATCATGGAACCACGATGAGTAGCACGGAATTCTTCTTTTTAATTATAACGTCCTCATTAACATTACAACTTTAAAAAAAGTAAAATTCGTCATTATTCATGACATTTCACCGTGAGCAAAACACGTGACTGTAGAGGCTTCAACCTAAAATACATAATAACATTGAAATTTATCTGGGGTCCGGTTAGGATCAGATTTTTAAAACACTAAAAAGCTTACCGCCAGGTCATTTTTGGAGTGATATCGCTACATTGCCACATTACACTTATCTATGTTTACGTCAGTAAGGCTTATATCGAACGAATACTACTATTCGCCGAATAGTTCATATTGATAAGTTAACATATCGGCTAATCTCATATTATCTTGTTGCTATTTACTTATTTAGGCTTGAATCATTACGATTACAAGTGACATTGCTTTTATCGAGCATTTTTGTATCGAGTTTAGTTCTGTGAGAACCACCTTATGAAGTCTCCTAGTATCCTGACGTAATACTCAGATTACCTCCATGTAATATGGTGATTTCCACTGGTCTTTAGTGTGGATAGATGATGTGCCAGGCCATGGTGATTAATTCTGCCGTTTTATGATCTCTATTTCGATTTACGGCAGTATAGAATGGTATTCCAACGTTCTGAACGATATACCTCAATTCATACATTTTCTGTTCTTATGGTTATAAATTCTTAATAAGAACGCAGCCATTTTCCAATAGATTCAGACAGGTAATAGGTGTTAACTGTTTAATAATTCTAAAAGTTATCCACATTTCATCAATGCCGTGTTGATACGTCAGAAAACGTCACAAATTTTAGTAAAGCTAAATTTTAAAGTAAGGAGTCATTATTTAAATTAACCAAGCAATGATTTTAATTCATTTTTAAGTTTTTTTAGTAATTAGGATGGATTAGACCTGCTAATATACCATTCAATCTCATCAGTCTCTAATAATGAGCAATATCCATCAACCCTTTAAAAGTAAATATGAAATAATAATAACCCTATTGATTAAGTAAGAATAACGATCCAAATTTTACCTGCTACGTCCCAGAGTTGTAATCTGACTAAGCATTTCTTGTCTCTGTGTAACACTTTTAGCGCGAAATCCACCCCTATCTGAAGAGAAACCGGCATAAAATTCACTTCTTTCACATTTAAGTTATCATGGTCATATTTCTTGACACAATCAATTGATACCGCACGTTCGAAGAAGATGTGATTGTATTTAGTTCTGTGAGAAATAATATCCTACACCTTTGTTATAAACCCTTATACCTTAGCCGTCATCATTTTGAATCTATTTCTACATTCAAGAATTTATCGAAAATTATAAAATTATACAATCATGAGATTATAAAATGGCTAGACTTTTTAAAAATATATTCTACATCCATATCGAAAATTTTGAGCATGTCAATAGAACTTTTGCTTAGCGGAAATTTTCGACAGTCACTATCAATATTTCAGGTTTTTGCATGCGTAAAAGTCCAAATTTTACAGTTTGGTTATGAGTTGAAATATCCGCCCACTAACTTACGTACTAAGTTCCAATAATCTATAAATTCTTTGAAACTGAAAGGAAAAATGAAACAGTAAACTTATGGAGCAGCTAGATCCTTACTTCCAAACTCTGCGATAACTCACTCAATAGTTACTTCATAGCAACGCATGATGGCTGATGCACGCAATGAAGTCAACTCAAAAGTCATTAGATAGGCTCCATGACTTACTTAAATTATAATATAATCGTCTTGGCGTCCTGCAAAGTGGAGCTTCTCTTATATCAAATTTGAGGTATCTCATAAACTTGTCACCTTCTTCAGATGTAACTGTTACTTGGCTTTTAGTGACAAGAGCACACATAACAGCAGTGATTTATTATGCGGCTTAATTTGAGGTCACTCATGATCTTGTCGGTGCACGATTTGGGGGCGCGGTTGAGGCGTTAACAGATCATCGACTTACTTTTATTTTCCGAACCCCTTCCCCTTAGGTTTGGCTTACGTAATATACCCAATATATGAGCGATCGCTCAAATTTATTTTTTAGCGTGTTTTATCGAAACTGATTATGCTCGTGGGTTTAAATGAAAAATCGGGGGAAGTCGAGCATTCGGTTATTGAATCATTCGAAGTGGTATAACTTTATAACTTTCCAATTTTCATTTTAAAGATGGCATTATATTCCTGCCAGTTTTGCTCTTACCGTTGCTTTGTAGTTGTTCTCGAACTTTCTGTGAACGTATTGCGCTATAACACTGGTTTTGCCGGTCTCACATTCTCCCACTACCAGTACCTTGAACAGGTACTCTTTCTTTTCCATAGGCCCTGGTAGATTTGTTAATTTAAGCCTCTTAAACTATTGATTTTAATTTATTGTGAGTTGATAAAAAGACGAATTGGGTCAAAGTAAGGCACATGTAGGAATCCAAGGTGAAGTAGAGCTCTGCTCAGAACTTTACGTCGGTGGTGCTGGAGGAGGACTTTTACAACATTTATTAATTATTAATTTTTACATTTTTGTTCCAACTTAATAATCAATATTTGATTGTTAAGGGAATCTTGCATTCTCGAGTCTCCTAAATATTTCATGAAATTTAACGAGTTGTACTCGAGAAATAATTAATAAAATGTTACTCCTGCGTGTCGCGTGTATCGTGATATTTGAGGGATTTCTAACTTAAACTACCGTCGACTGGTGTGTGACGAGCTTTAATATTAAGTGCTTTTCAAATGCCAAATTAATTTAATCGTGGTATCAAATAATTTGTTTAGAATTTCTCCTCTATTAACCATCGTAAGTTGTTACTGATTTTGGAATTCCTGTACCTTTGATGAGTTTACCGCGAGTAGCCATGACTTTGTGCACTGCTTAGAATTAGATCGCTATCCGTATCACGTTCGTAATGCAGTGTTCTAATATTCAGATTCCAGTAGATATCCAATTCACAGCTTCGCTGATTTTTCGTTCCAGACAACCAATCAATGATGTACAAAACAACAACTTCTTAAAATATGAAGCGGAACACAACAGCAAATCACAGCAAGACTTGTGCTACCGCAAATTCCATCGAACTGTTCAAACACAACACACGCAAATTAGAGCATTACACAAGATAAGGCGCTAGCTGTAGAGCTGGTAGAGCACGTGCAATATTCCATTGTTACCCTGGATACCAAATACTGGCATTGTCAGCAAACCAGGTGACCTATGTCCTGCAAGCTGACTGGCGTGTTTGTATGGGCGAGATCGGCTAGCAATAAAACCCACAATGTCACAATGTGTGTTGTGGATCAAGATCACGTGACTCGATTGTTATGAGTAACACTCTATTCAGATTCTTGACCACTTCATGATGTGGCTCTGGACTTCTTAGTGCTTATACTACGGTACATCATGGGTCACTACAGTATCTACTGCACAATATTTCCTTCTACAGAATTGGTAAAACGTACGATAACCAGTAACCAACCGTTGTTAGAGTCAAAGTTACAAATTTACCCAAAGTTACAAATATACGCTTGAACTAGGTAACTTGGCGAAGATGTTTGCCCTTGAATAATGCCAAGTAGTTGGCGGTTCCGCTCTTTGATTACATATTTACAAAAAGGAAAAAACCTTGATCGTAGACAGTTTTAGTATATTATGATCTGTTCATAGATTGAGCCGTTTCTCTTTCAAGTTCCTAATTTTGACACGGTTCCCTTAAATTTGAAAATCATGTCCAATTCTTCTTCACATAATACAGATATTATGTGCTGACCGTTTATCCCCTATAATTTATGAATTATGATGCTCTATTAGAATACGCCAAAGGTCCGTTCTTAATTGCTTTAAATCTGTGAAGCACCATATTCAATATGAAGGGTCTGCTTGTGAGTTGTGACGTTACTAAACACCATATAATTAATTAGCACCTATCACAGTCCATTATAATAACAAGACAGACCCGCAGAAGAGTTGCAGGTGACCTGCGGTAGATCCTTCAATTAAGGAAATCAAATAGTACCGGCAAAGGCTGCAGATCAATAGGTTGGAGAAATCGCTTTGATTAATGCGTATTGTACTATTCCTTATAGCTGACTAATAAATAATTATGAGTATAATTCCTAAACAAAGGAACCTGGTGTGGTCTCCACAAATCCTGCAGAGCTATTATAGTATTAGTAAAAGTAATTAGTAGCTGTCTTTACTCGCGAGTAGTACGAGCACCAAATTAATATATCGGAGGATGCCAACTTTCAGAATAATACATATTACATATTATATAACACATTGCCTGTGTCCTGTGATTTTACAGATGATATTTGAAGCTTAACTATACCAGAATGAGGTTTCGAAAAACAAGCAAATAAAAGGTTGAAAATAGCGAGTGTTCCTACAATAAGCACCAGAGTAGACTAACAGACTCAATGCATATTGTAACTCATTCGCCCACAATTTGATATACTAGGATGCACAACTAATTATTTGCAAATTAAGCCGATCTATTAGGATTTAAGGCAGACCATTAATTTACACTGGGGATGAGAGTTGTGCTGTGTAATAATCCTGATATTATTATGTTGTGAGATTTCTGAGAAAGCCTGCAGACACTATGTCATCCTCGGTGACATGAAGATTTTAAGCGTTATGCATGATTTTGAAAGAAACATATCCTAAGCTTACAACTTTTAGACGTTACCTCATTTTCTAGAAGTTCTAAATTGTGGATTACCTACTCCCAGTCTGGATACAGTGCCCTAAAGCGATAAAGGGAGGAAATTGGATCAGAGCGAATCAGCTGCTTTGTGCTGTATACTGCAGTTGTTAGATTAACTGCTGGCCCATGTACTTCATTATTACTTCCCACTCTAACAGTGTGATCTGAGTCAGTAACCATCAGATAATCTTATTTCTAATATCTTACCTGCAGGTTGGCAGCTCGTATAGACTGAAATTTAATTGACAGCCCAGACTCATGATGAAAATATGATAGTGATGTATGGTGAACCGTAGTGGCCCTTGTTTTCGACTTTTTTTAAAACAAAAGCGGGATTTTTCTTCAGATTAACGTACCGGAACGAAAGTTAACAAATCAACGGTGTTCCAAGAAAAATCGGACCTCTATTTTTGGCGGCAAAGTAAAAATGAAAACCTATCAAATTATGATCATACGTAGAGTGTAGACGATCTTGACTCTTGAGGCTAACTTCAAATAGGATAGAATTAAGATATTGTATCAATCATACATCGTATCAATTATACATCGTATCAATCATACATCGTATCAATCATACATCGTATCATGTTCATAAGTCAGGGGTGTAAGATTACACTATACAAATTCAATATGATCCTGTTTGTAATTATTGGCGATTCAAGAAGAAACTAGGAAAATAAATAAAATAAGGCCTCGAGCCAACAGCCTGAGCAGTGAGCACTGACTACTGAGCTACTGAGCTAATGCCAAAGTAGCATACTGATTTGTGAAAACATTGAATTTCAGCCCGGTACCGGGGGCATTTATGGAGGTCTTAACTATCTTCATGTGAGTTATCATGAATATCAAATATCATGAATATCGAATATGATGTCAGTTGATTAAGTCATGAAAATAGAAAGGTAGTTGGTTGTAGGATTTAAATTGTGTTAGTTGATTTCACCGGATGGCCGATTTCATCAGAACGATGATTGACCATCTCTTAACAGTATTTCAATAACTATTTAACCACCTGATACAGGATACTTTCCACAGAATGTAACTAAAGATTAAAGAATAGCAAAATACAAAAGTACAAATGTTTTATACAACATAGTAGCTAAACGAAATCATCACACTTACGTAAGCCAATAGGAAGCAAATTGACTTTTAGGACTTTTCCCCCATTATACCAATAGGATAATATACATATATAGTGTAGGTAGTGGAATTATAGGCTTTTAACTCTAATTCAACTCAAATTGCTGAATACTTGGAAATATGTGACTCATCTGCAGAAGGTGTGACCGGATCAGCTGTTGTGACTGCAGCTTGATTCAATAGGAAGTGTTTTCAAATAGTGAATGATATGACTGATACTGATTTGCCTAAATTATAGAGACTTTATTAATCATGAATTTCGACTACTTTATGCATAAACAACAAACTCGGCTTGACTCTGATTAATTTTCAAAATTAAATTCGAAGAAATATCTCACATCGTTGGAGATGATTGTGCGTTAGTCTAACTAGTTCTTGGAATAAAAGCTCCTATATCCTAATATCACTACATTCACCTTTAAAATACCAAATACTGTGCCAACTACCATATAAATTACAAACAACAGAGCGAGTCTAGTCAACCTAATAAAAGCTATGTAAACAAATAGTGGATATAAGAAAATATATAAATAAATATATAAGTAATAGGTTAATATATAATAGGTTAATTTATAAGTAAATATAAAGGACCGATTTTAAATATAAGTAAATAAATTTAAATTTAAATATAAGTAAATCAAATATATAACATAAGTTAATATAAAGGACTAATTTTAAGATGAAAGAGACTTTCCAAGGAATGGGCCTAGATTATTGCTCATCATTAAGGACAATTACTCTTGAATTTCGATTACTAAGTAAATCTACTGTTTTCACAGCGATCACTAGCCTCTGATTAGATTTAATATTTAAAGGCTACTTGTAAGGCGGTTGAAAGTCTCCTCTATCTTGTCAAATGTCAAAAACTGAAAACGATTAATTCAATAATTAGAAAGAACAGTATGACACCAATCCCGCACACTGGACCAAGCTTATAAATCCAGATCCTGAGAATTGATGACAGGCTCTGATTTTCTCGGAAAAATGGACGACTGCGGGAAGTTGTGTTTACTCTGAGCAAAATAGTTGTGGAAATTCCACCCCACACACTTGATGCCACTAAATAACTTACATATAACTCACTTATACTCTTATTCAAGTTTCTACAATAACTATTGTGTAATTGACATATTATTACCAGATCTATTTAAATAATAGTAAATACCGCCATAGTTCGTAGAAAAAGGGTAAAATACTGCGGTAACAACAAATGATGTGTTTGCATGACAAAAATCACATTAATAAATTACATAATGTGTATAAAGTGTGTCTACACTTTGCAGTCTACAGGCTGATATATCTAGGACATGCGCAGTGCGCACCTGCCTCAGTATAGGGGGCGATACGTACATTTTACGGGGGCTGTACTATACGTGCTTTATTTCGGGAATTTAACGTATTATTTAATAAGTATATAGGTATTTATCTGTATCTTGCTCTGAGTTAAGTACAAATCTGATTTACAGACAACTAAAATTGATACTTAATGATAAGTTGATAAACTGGTAGCAGTTTCGCATGAATCCAGAATGAATACAGCAATAATATTAATAAGCTAAATTTGTTTCTAAATTTTGTATACAGATGTTTTGAATTCGATCTTTTCTCTTTTCATGTTCAAATCTAGATCCTTAATTGATATATCTGATTCAATTCCACATGAATTTAAATCGTGAACCAAAAACATTACACCACGACAAATGGGAATCAGACAAGAGAGAGAGATAGAGGTAGAGAGTGCGATATAGAGAGGGCACCTTTCTACACGCCAATAACGATACCTACAAATCGGAGATTACACCACTGTGACCAACAGTTCAAATATAGCTCCAGTACACTATCACAACATCGTCAGAGTCCCCCTCGGTCATCATGTAGCCATCATACAGACACTCTGTAAGTGGGGAGGTGGTAACCAATACTACAGAGGGTGTGTCGAAATCATCGGGGTATTGGTTGCCTAGTTGTGTGGAGTGTTTGGTGTGATTGAGAAACATTATCAAATGAGCTGCTATCATTAAGGGGTGATCTGTAGTTTCGTCACAGACAGGTTCATGGTAGAGGTATGTTTGGGAAATCGTACCATTGTAGGGTTAAAATAGTATCTGGGAGT